TGAGTTCAGCTTTAAATAACAAACAAAACAAAGTGTAAAATATCTGAGATGACTCCCTCACATTTTCCTGCTATGATGTCACTGAAATTGTACCCTTCTTCTGGCAGTTTTGTCACTGATAATACAAAGGTGAGCTCCAGTACATTGGTGAAATTCAAAGGGACACATGTTGCAAGTATTCAATCGTGAATTAAAATTCAATAGATTCGATGTTTAAAAATCTGTTTAGCTTTCATAATCCATGGTGTAAGAATGGTTTTGTCCCAGGTGTTATCGAAGATGTTCGTCAAGTATCACATGTCCTTGAAGGTGAAGTTTAAACCTATGTCAGGCCATGTCTGAAGTATAACCTCCGTCAACTTTCATCCATGTCTTTTCCCTCAAGGTAGACTGTCGTGAAGATATGCCTTGAAACAGTCCATAACACAGGGTTTACGGCCATTCAAAGAACATAATGGCTACTTTAATGTACAGCTGCCTACTAAAATTATTAATGTGCTTTCTTAGACATAGAAACACTCATTACAGTGTCTGTAGCTATTTAGTCATTGCATTCAAGGATTATTGTTGACGTTCTTGACATCTGTATGAAACAGTTGAAAGGCTTGTGAGTTCTTTGTGTGGCAGTATGGGATATGTTTATGTCACAGAGCAACACTAAGACGTCATTAAGTGAAAAAGAAAATTGCGGCAGTGGTGTGTTGGTTCCAGTGTGACGACCAGTCAATGTTGTTATTCTCATTTTATTTCCCGACTTCATTAACTGGAAGTTTGAGGGATGATCAGACATGTTCCAAGCTGTCATTGCTTTGTGGAGATAGCCAGGTAATGTTCGATATATTTATTATAATGATATAATGATACTAGGGCTCCAGATAATTTTTCAACATCATGAGTATGTACTCCTTATTTTTTCAATACAGGAGTACTGGAATACCTTAAGAGTACATTTAGAGTACTGAATGGAATTTAATGGAGTATCAGTAGTCTTGTGTTTCATTTCATATATGCACCATAACATGCACCATAACTTTGCTAGCTGAGCGGGTTAGGCGGCTGACTTTGTGTGCTGGCGATTAGGTGCCTGACTCTGAGGGTGTGAGTTCAAATCCCGGATGGGGCTCAACTCAAAAAGTACTAGAATTTGTACTTTACTAAGAAAGTGTAATCCCAAATATAACATATGTTACATTGCTACTCTTGTGTAAACAGGTCAATAAACAATAAAACAATAATTTTTCAGATAAATACGTCTGTAAATGATTCTAAGACCATACACCATTGCTGTGGTGTATATCTGCTACGTTTTCTAAATTATTTCCTACCATATCGTGCATAGTTTTTATCAGTACATACGCTGATACGGACCTTATCTGGAGCCCTGGATATTTTTCACTGCGCTATCATTAGAGGTCTGTCAATAATGCTTGACAAAGGAGGATACTTGAACAGACCAAAGGGCTTATTATTTATAAATAAAATTCTATAATTTGTTGTTAATTCCAAAATGAGCAAAACAAATAATATTATTTTAGTGGCTCGTGAAAAAGTACACAAACCATAGGAAGGTCACAAGCTTCTTATAATTTGTATGTAATGAGACCGAGTGTGGTATTTTATTTATTACCCACCTCTTACATGCATTAAATTGACAAAATAGCGTTTTTTTGTTATTGTTATGGTTTCAAACTGAAACCGGTTTCATAAAGAGGTTGCAGAAGAATTTTGTTTTGTAGTCACTTTTGCATGACGTCACACTGTATTGACGTCACTAAGCCATTCTCGTCTGTCCCCTTGGTAACCGACGTCACGATGCATGTCAGTTGTCATCGCCTCGTACAGCCTCCTACAGTAAACTACTCCGTAGCACCCCTTTTCTTGGTTTGCGGTTGCTTCACTCGGCTAACATTACTGGTGGAAACATTGCGTGTATGATTTTCGATGGATATATTGTCTCAGTTCGACTCACAATTAAACAGCGATACAGCAACGTTTGCAATGTTTACATTCCCACAATGCATATAAGTTGTAGAATGAATGAATTCAGGTGTTTGTTATGAATGAACAAGTAGTTCCATCACAACGTGACCTAACTGAGAGGTCTTCGGTTATCCAATCAAATCGTTAGAATCTCAGGTCAACGCGATACGACACTCGTGTGACGTACGAGATCAGTATGCAGCTACCCATACGTTGACCACGTGGGTAATAATGACCAGTGCTGGACTTCATGCCAGAACCATATTAGACATATCAGTATGTCTTATTTTATGTGTTCCACATTAAGGTTTATAAAATAGGCCTACGGTTGGACCCATGAAACCACATTTATGTTTTTGATACTGCTTCAACACATTTATCTTGCTGGCATGTTTCAGTCTGCCATTTAAAGAATTAAAACAAATTGGAAACAAAACATGAAGAAAAAGAGGAACACATTTTATGGATTGACAAATTCTATATTGCGATAGATGTGACGTTTTGGTGTAGATGCTAATACCGTGATCAAACAAGTGATAGTGATAGAAAACAGTTCTGTGATTTAGATGAGAGTAACTTGTGTGGTGTCATGTGACGTTCGTTGACTCATAAATAATGTACAGCTTGTTGTTTCATAATGGGTGTATCAGATTTATTGTCCCGCTCAGAATTCCATATGCACCATGTTTTCTTCATGGTAGGGTATAAGGGATTTATTGTCCTGTGAAATTTAATTCCAGCCCATGTGGGATAAGTAGTATATTAACAACATCACATGATCCAATCAGATCATTTTGACATGGAGGATAGGCAAAGTAACGTCATCATCTCCAGCCATTATGTTAGCCTTCCCCAATAAGACTACTTTGTTTGGGAATTTGATGTTTCAAACAATGATTATTTATGTCCCACCAACTGATCAGTCGATGCTTCAGTCCAAATTGCAGTTAACATCATTGGAACCAAATTGAAAAGTAGTATTTGAAGAGGAGTCAACTCCAGGAAGATGGTTTCTGGAGGCTCTGAAGGTCTGTTACAAATCATCTGCTTCATATGTAGCTGCAATTGATAAAAAGTGGAAATAGAAGAATCCCGTGGGACTTGTCGAGCTTGTTCATTATCCTATATAAATATAAAATCAAAGGATCAATATTTGAAATCTTCTTTGATAATCCATTAAGACTGTCAATGGAGTCTCACGTCAGTTATCACTATCAAGATTTTTAGGTGATCAGGGCTGTCAATATTCAGACGGGACTTGCGGTTCTATATCACATGTCCCAGATGGGCTTTCCAACTTTGTTCTGCATAGTGATGGATGTTATTTGTTGATATTAGAATGTGCATGGAATAATAAGCGCTCTATAGAGTGAGGAGATTTGTTTGCTTGGTATCAGCGGTTCAGACAGATTTATCCCTCTGAGGAATAATTGGTCTGGATTCAATGCCGACATGATTTTTCAGACACATAATATGGATGATGGGAAGATATAAGTCGCTGATGCAAGCTGTCTGTGTTTGTGTGGTGAATATTCCTATCTGCTAAGTCTGCTTCTGATTCAGTTCTGCAGTAGACTTACATTTGGGCTCCTGCTCTGCCATGTTCTTGTGTACACATGAGTGTTATTGAGGGAGTTATGTTGAGGTGTGGGGCGAACTAACAGCTTAATTATTATAAGAACAAAGGTTCTGTTCCTCTCACTGGTGATGCAACATGGTCTTCCAGACCAGAGGGGTGCAGTGGGGTAACCTAATGGTTAAAGCGTTGGCTTGTCACGCCAAAGACCCGGGTTCGAATCCCCACATGGACACAATGTGTGAAGCCCATTTCTGGTGTCCCCCGCCGTGATGTTGCTGGAATAATGCTAAAAGCGGCGTAAAACCAAATTCAGTCAGTCAGTCCAGACCAGAGAATACTTTCAATAAGGAATCCAACTCAAGCCTATAATGACTTGCCAAGTCTAGATTCTTCAATTAAAGATTGTTCTCAGCTCAACTTTGATTTCAAATGAAATTTATAAAAACTTCATTTCTGTGACTAAATGGGTCATGGGTAAAGTGTGCAAAGATCTGTATATCAATATATCAAGTAAGGAAGAAGGGCGTGCTTCAAATGTTTTACAAGTTAAAATAGATATCACTTGTACCAAGGAACTGTTAGTATTTTAGACAACTTGTGTTATAGCAGTGTAGGAAATAAGGCCCGTCTGACTGCCCGAGACGGGTTACATTTCAGACGGATGGTCTAGATTTACAGCTAGCCAGCCCATGGTCTGGTAACAAATTTAGATGTTATATACATCTGAGTCATATCTTGGTGCCTGGTCTGGTGAAATCCATTTTGGACTGGTAACATTTTGAAGTTACCCGCCCTGATGTCTGGCTGGGGTTTTGGCTTATTTCATACACTGGTTATAGCCATGTACTGTTCTATCATATGATCATTAAAACGTTGCAGTATTGTTTTTATATAATGCTACTATATGTAGGAGTCAGGTGTGTTTTTGTCAAGACATAACAGATTTAATGTCATATCATGAAAGGATATTCTTAACTTTTTTTAAGTGTATATACGAACTGTCTGAGTTTCATTGTGCCCAAAGACAGTGCCGTATTTGAGTCCTGGACTCCCAATTCATTCAGTCTTATGTCTTTGTGAAAGTATGAGAGCTACAATCATGTTAATGCTAAGATGACTCTCACTATTATGCTGTGACCTATGACAGTCTAAGCACCATTTCATTTTGTGGCAAAGGGGGGCTGTGGGGTAGCCTAGTGGTTAAAGCATTGGCTCGTCACGCCGAAGACCCAGGTTCGAATCCCCACATGGGTACAATGTGTGAAGCCCATTTCTGGTGTCCCCTGCCGTGATGTTGCTGGAATATTGCTAAAAGCGGTGTAAAACCAAACTCAGTCAGTTTTGTGGCAAAGGGCCCTTCTCAAATAAGAATGTGGATTTGTGGATCACACTGGTTTTGAACACTCACTCACTCACTCACTGATGTTTCTTATCGTTTCAGGACTCACATATGTTGACCATGTTGGCACAACACTTTATGCTCGGAGTCAGCTGGAAGCTTTCCACAAAGATCTCTTCAGCAACCTCTACGGCAACCCCCACTCCCGCAGTCAGAGTAGCCGACTCACCACAGACACCATCGACCAAGTCAGATACAGGTATGTGACAAGATGAACATACCTGGCAGATACTCACACTATTCAAACAGTCAACTCAGGTGTACTGAACATAATACACAACCAATATATTGTGTCCCAAAACACATACATGTATTTCAAAATAAGTGCACAAATTTTCAGAATCTTCTTGCACGCTTAGCTTTAAATATCAGTTTTATTCATTTAGAACAATACTATGCGTATATGCAAAAGAAGTTACATATTTATTGTGTATATCGCTGGTGACAACTTTGTCTCCAAACTGATCTTGTAAATACCACAAACAGCCTCAGCTGGAAGCCCTGAAGCACCCTAAGCTCCCTTGAAGCCAACACATAATTCCTAATTCCCTTCTCAGAAAAGTCACTGAAGACGATGTCTTTAGACCTATTTGTGTGATTGTTAATAGATTTTATTTATCTTTTTCATGAACGAAGTTTGGTGTGAGATTTATCAGTTTTGTCGTGAGAGTGTCACATGAGTAATAACAGCAGACTCAAGCCAAATGATTGGCAGGTATGAGACTGTACATCATGATTCCTATATTGGCAGGTATGAGACTGTACATCATGATTGCTATATTGGCAGGTATGAGACTGTACATCATGATTCCTGTATTGGCAGGTATGAGACTGTACATCATGATTCCTATATTGGCAGGTATGAGACTGTACATCATGATTCCTATATTGACAGGTATGAGACTGTACATCATGATTCCTATATTGACAGGTATGAGACTGTACATCATGATTCCTATATTGGCAGGTATGAGACTGTACATCATGATTCCTATATTGGCAGGTATGAGACTGTACATCATGATTGCTATATTGGCAGGTATGAGACTGTACATCATGATTCCTATATTGACAGGTATGAGACTGTACATCATGATTCCTATATTGGCAGGTATGAGACTGTACATCATGATTGCTATATTGACAGGTATGAGACTGTACATCATGATTCCTATATTGACAGGTATGAGACTGTACATCATGATTCCTATATTGACAGGTATGAGACTGTTCATCATGATTCCTATATTGGCAGGTATGAGTCTGTACATCATGATTCCTATATTAGCAGGTATGAGACTGTTCATCATGATTCCTATATTAGCAGGTATGAGACTGTTCATCATGATTCCTATATTGACAGGTATGAGACCGTACATCATGAATCCTATATTGGCAGGTATGAGTCTGTACATCATGATTCCTATATTGACAGGTATGAGAGACTGTTCATCATGATTCCTATATTGACAGGTATGAGACTGTACATCATGATTCCTGTATTGACAGGTATGAGACTGTACATCATGATTCCTATATTGGCAGGTATGAGACTGTACATCATGATTCCTATATTGACAGGTATGAGACTGTACATCATGATTCCTATATTGGCAGGTATGAGACTGTACATCATGATTCCTATATTGGCAGGTATGAGACTGTACATCATGATTCCTATATTGGCAGGTATGAGACTGTACATCATGATTGCTATATTGGCAGGTATGAGACTGTTCATCATGATTCTATATATTAGCAGGTATGAGACTGTACATCATGATTCCTATATTGACAGGTATGAGACTGTACATCATGATTCCTATATTAGCAGGTATGAGACTGTACATCATGATTCCTATATTGACAGGTATGAGACTGTACATCATGATTCCTATATTGGCAGGTATGAGACTGTACATCATGATTCCTATATTGGCAGGTATGAGACTGTACATCATGATTCCTATATTGGCAGGTATGAGACTGTACATCATGATTCCTATATTGGCAGGTATGAGACTGTACATCATGATTCCTATATTGGCAGGTATGAGACTGTACATCATGATTCCTATATTGGCAGGTATGAGACTGTACATCATGATTGCTATATTGGCAGGTATGAGACTGTACATCATGATTCCTATATTGACAGGTATGAGACTGTACATCATGATTCCTATATTGGCAGGTATGAGACTGTACATCATGATTCCTATATTAGCAGGTATGAGACTGTACATCATGATTGCTATATTGGCAGGTATGAGACTGTACATCATGATTCCTATATTGGCAGGTATGAGACTGTACATCATGATTCCTATATTGACAGGTATGAGACTGTACATCATGATTCCTATATTGGCAGGTATGAGACTGTACATCATGATTCCTATATTGGCAGGTATGAGACTGTACATCATGATTCCTATATTGGCAGGTATGAGACTGTACATCATGATTCCTATATTGACAGGTATGAGACTGTACATCATGATTCCTATATTGGCAGGTATGAGACTGTACATCATGATTCCTATATTGGCAGGTATGAGACTGTACATCATGATTCCTATATTGGCAGGTATGAGACTGTACATCATGATTCCTATATTGACAGGTATGAGACTGTACATCATGATTCCTATATTGACAGGTATGAGACTGTTCATCATGATTCCTATATTAGCAGGTATGAGACTGTACATCATGATTCCTATATTGACAGGTATGAGACTGTACATCATGATTCCTATATTAGCAGGTATGAGACTGTACATCATGATTCCTATATTGGCAGGTATGAGACTGTTCATCATGATTCCTATATTGACAGGTATGAGACTGTTCATCATGATTCCTATATTAGCAGGTATGAGACTGTACATCATGATTCCTATATTGACAGGTATGAGACTGTACATCATGATTCCTATATTGGCAGGTATGAGACTGTACATCATGATTCCTATATTGACAGGTATGAGACTGTACATCATGATTCCTATATTGGCAGGTATGAGACTGTACATCATGATTCCTATATTGACAGGTATGAGACTGTTCATCATGATTCCTATATTGGCAGGTATGAGACTGTACATCATGATTCCTATATTGACAGGTATGAAACTGTACATCATGATTCCTATATTGACAGGTATGAGACTATACATCATGATTCCTATATTGACAGGTATGAGACTGTACATCATGATTCCTATATTGACAGGTATGATACTGTACATCATGATTCCTATATTAGCAGGTATGAGACTATACATCATGATTCCTATATTGACAGGTATGAGACTGTACATCATGATTCCTATATTAGCAGGTATGAGACTGTTCATCATGATTCCTATATTGACAGGTATGAGACTGTACATCATGATTCCTATATTAGCAGGTATGAGACTGTTCATCATGATTCCTATATTAGCAGGTATGAGACTGTACATCATGATTCCTATATTGACAGGTATGAGACTGTTCATCATGATTCCTATATTAGCAGGTATGAGACTGTTCATCATGATTCCTATATTGACAGGTATGAGACTGTACATCATGATTCCTATATTGGCAGGTATGAGACTGTACATCATGATTCCTATATTGACAGGTATGAGACTGTACATCATGATTCCTATATTGGCAGGTATGAGACTGTACATCATGATTCCTATATTGACAGGTATGAGACTGTACATCATGATTCCTATATTGACAGGTATGAGACTGTACATCATGATTCCTATATTGGCAGGTATGAGACTGTACATTATGATTCCTATATTGGCAGGTATGAGACTATACATCATGATTCCTATATTGACAGGTATGAGACTGTACATCATGATTCCTATATTGACAGGTATGAGACTGTTCATCATGATTCCTATATTAGCAGGTATGAGACTGTACATCATGATTCCTATATTGACAGGTATGAGACTGTACATCATGATTCCTATATTAGCAGGTATGAGACTGTTCATCATGATTCCTATATTGGCAGGTATGAGACTGTTCATCATGATTCCTATATTGACAGGTATGAGACTGTTCATCATGATTCCTATATTAGCAGGTATGAGACTGTACATCATGATTCCTATATTGACAGGTATGAGACTGTACATCATGATTCCTATATTGGCAGGTATGAGACTGTACATCATGATTCCTATATTGACAGGTATGAGACTGTACATCATGATTCCTATATTGGCAGGTATGAGACTGTACATCATGATTCCTATATTGACAGGTATGAGACTGTTCATCATGATTCCTATATTGGCAGGTATGAGACTGTACATCATGATTCCTATATTGACAGGTATGAAACTGTACATCATGATTCCTATATTGGCAGGTATGAGACTATACATCATGATTCCTATATTGACAGGTATGAGACTGTTCATCATGATTCCTATATTGGCAGGTATGAGACTGTACATCATGATTCCTATATTGACAGGTATGAAACTGTACATCATGATTCCTATATTGACAGGTATGAGACTGTACATCATGATTCCTATATTGACAGGTATGAGACTGTACATCATGATTCCTATATTGGCAGGTATGAGACTGTACATTATGATTCCTATATTGGCAGGTATGAGACTATACATCATGATTCATATATTAGCAGGTATGAGACTGTACATCATGATTGCTATATTGACAGGTATGAGACTGTACATCATGATTCCTATATTGGCAGGTATGAGACTGTACATCATGATTCCTATATTGGACACACTACTGTATTTGGTTCATTTGAAAGCCCTACAAATATTAGTGTTGGGAATTGGTTTAAATCTCATAATTGATGATTGGTTCATTACAACCGATCAATCATCAAAAATAATTGGTTAGCGTCATTTATTAAAAATTTTCAGGTTATGTTTGTTAATGCACAAAAAATAAAGAAAAAACATGTAGTTCTTTCGTTTTGTTGCAAATTCCATTATGAGAAAACATGATCAATTGATTGGTCGTTTTGTCATTGCGACCAATCTTCGATTATTTCAATTAATCGGACCACCACTAACAAATATACATCTCAGCAGTATTGGGCCCCAGTTTTGAGCAAATGTTCGGTGTAAAATTTTCCTATCAAGGTTATTATAATAACTTTTGTTTAAGTTACTCATTGTCCATAGGCCAAAAGGGTCATGTAAGGAAACCAACTTGCTTTAAGAAGCAATTTTACATAACGCTTGTAAATGTAATGTAAAATAGAAACGAAATGAATATAATAATATTGAAATCAATATCAATTTTGGATAATATACCCTCATCATTACTCCTTCAGATTTGACCGACACTTCCCTCTATTTTGTAATCGAACATAATTACCTGACCTCTTTTGATACCCTCCCTGAAACAAGTGACCTTCAGTGAAACAAGTGACCTTCAGTTACGTACCTGTGATTAGATGTAATTAGTACCTGAGGGCACATTGTTAGCAGTTTTTTCTCTCACCTGACCAGGTGAGGAACATCATTAACATGTTTGTCGTGCCACACATACTGCTCACCATCGATGGCGGCTTCATTAGGGTCAGTTGTAGACAGATAGTATCTTAATCACTGACATCTTCTGGCACAGTGTTATTGATGTCTTAATGGCTGCTAATTACCTTATCCGTTACGATCCTGCAATGTGGCATTGATGTAGGATTTTTGGTTAGTTGGTTTGTTGTTTAATGCTGCACTCAGCAATATTCCAGCTACATGACGGCAGTCTGTAAATAATCAAGTCTGGACCAGACAATCCAGTAACCAAGGACAAATCTATCATCTTACAAGCAAGGTATCAAACCCCACGGCCTCAGTCTATCTCAGCCTCTGAATCATTTTCCCCTCCACTCAGCCCTTATTGTAGTGCTATAGTAGTGAGTGAGCGAATTTAGTTTTACACCACACTCAGCAATATTCCAGCTATATGGCGGTGGTCTGTAAATAATCAAGTCTGGACCAGACAGTCCAGTGATCAACAGCATGAGCATCAATCTACGCAATTGGGATCACGATGACATGTGTCAACCATGTCAGCGAGCCTGACCACCCGATCCCGTTAGTCGCCTCTTTTGACAAGCATGGGTTACTGAAGACCAATTCTAACCCGGATGTTCATGGTTCCCTTAGTGTAGGAATGATATACTTAACTATGGTTGTTACAGGATTATACCTGTGGTTACTTTGTTCAAACTCAGTTTTACTTACTTCACTGTGATGCTGATGACAGTGTTCTTGACGCTGTTAAAAACATGTTGTTTTATTTTGCTGTAGAGTGAGTGAGTGAGTTTTGTTTTACGCCGCTTTTAGCAATATTCCAGCAATATCACGTCGGGGGATACTGGAAATGGGCTTCTCACAATGTACCCATGTGGGGAATCGAACCCGGGCCTTCAGCGTGACGAGCGAACGCTTTAACCATTAGGCTACCCAACCGCCCCTTTTGCTGTAGAAAAATATACATAGTGATTGACATTCCGTGCACAGCCTATTAATTAAAATTATTGTTCTTATGACACGAAAAGTATCTGGCAGATGAGAAAAAGGATTTTCTGAAATTACATTATGTGTTGTTACTCTTAAGGTTTGAACTAACAATATCGGAAATTAATTATGTATATTGATCTACCTGGCCCATGATACAAGGTAAAAACCGCCATATAGCTGGAATATTGCTGAGTGTGGCGTAAAACTAAACTCGCTACAAGGTAAAACACAACATGCAACATAATACACATTGAATGTTCAAAACATGAATTTACATTGTGAAGGCATGACGTGTTACTGCAGTTAACAGATTCAACAGGGCAAGGTGCTTAGTTAAGGTAATTACATGAATCACAACCTGAGTGCTGGTTCAGTATGGTGCAGGTAAAGTTTGCTTTGGTAGAACTCCATGTGCTTAAGAGATCACAAGAACATGGTATTTTTCCTTGACTGAAAGTTGGGCGTTGGCGTATAGCTGATTTACCATTATTCTGCTATCATTGCATACCAGATCCACATCTAAACGAAAATGTGAAGATGTTCTTCTGTTTTAATGATAGGTTGCAGGTGAGACAGGTATGTTTTTGCCTCTTTAAACAGGTACCTTCGTTTACTTGTGTTGGAATGTAGGTAACAACAGAGCATGACTATCGTGGGGGACCTAATGAGGTGTTTGTCTTGTCTCCTTGGAGGAAAACAGAATAACACAGGTGATGATGCATGTTCTTACACCCCTGTTGGTGTTGTGTTCGAGGGGAAGGGCCATCGACAGAATCACTCACCTTGTAGGGGATAGAGGTCTGGGTTTGCTCATACAGTGTGTATTGTAAACTGATTTTGGTCATTGACATTGTCTGCAGCTTGTCTTCTTTAGGTGTTATGTTGGAAGGGATGGATCATAGTCTCACTCACTCACTCACTCACTCTGTCACACCCAATTGTTTGATTCACTACATGGGTATGGCGGGTAAAGTCTGTAGTTATGTCACTGCTTAGACCTCACTCGCTCACTCGCACGACTGCCCACCAGCCCGCTCTCTCACTCCATCACACCCAAATGTTTCACTCCTCATGGGTCTCTCGGGTCAAGTCTGTAGTTATGTCACTGCTCACTCACTCTTCGCTCACTCGCTTGCGACTGCCCACTCACTCCATCACACCCAAATGTTCTTCACTGCATGGATATGGCGTCACTCACTCACTCACTCACTCACTCCTCACTCACTCACTCACTCACTCACTCACTCCACCACTGCCTGTAGTTTCAAGGTCTGGGTATGGCGGGTAAAGTCGGTGAGTGGTTAAAGCGTTGGCTCGTCACGCCGAAGACCCAGGTTCGATTCCCCACATGGGCACAATGTGTTAAGCCCATTTCTGGTGTCCCCCGCCGTGATATTGCTGGAATATTGCTAAAAGCGGCGTAAAACTAAACTCAGTCAGTCAGTCAGTCAGTCAGTTTCAAGGTCTTTTTGTCAAGGTCTTTTTTTAAAACCCTACACCATTGACCATTACTGCTCAAAGCAACTGTCTACAGTGTCTGGCTTTTTGGATATTTGAAACTTTCACAGAGGTGCAACAGTACCATTACAGTCTACTTTCATTTGATTCTAATCCTAGCAAATCTCACAAGTATACCAAGGAGATGGAAGTGCATAAATACTGTCAGATTTATGTACAACATGTATGAGGTTGTATGATATTTATTTTCATAGCTTTTTAGAAGAACATGAAAGAACTCCAGATGTCGCATTTAGAATTTGAATCGGACAAAACAGCCAGAAAATAAGACAATATAATCAAGTGAAACAACATGAATTGATTTTCGTTCTATATCGTTCCACCTTGGCCAATCACCTCTTCCATTCAGTCTGCCCTAAGCCATAAAAACAATAGGAAATCCTCTGTTTTAAATGTCAAACCAATTTAGGCCGAAGCAAACGGAGTCGGATTGAAAGCACAGTCAGTAGGATCCTTTCTTAGACAAAATAATCTTTGTGGTGGTTGCAAAGTGGTTTGATTATTCTGCCATTTTCTTATTAATACTGGGCTTGTCCAACCTGGGTTATTATATAGTCAGCACTGTGGCAATCTGCCTGCTGAAACCGTACTAATTGTCTACTCTGATGGTCCTGTTGGTAGATAAGTTAGACATGGCTTAGCGGTCCCTGATGCTTCAATCCGCAGTAATAGCTTTGTCTCAAGTCTTTTGTTCGTCATTGTGTTTGGACATGTTTAGGATGTTTTTCTGATGAAAAAATCCATATGAGAGGGATGATATTAATTGGAGTTGAATACTATAGGATAGCTTTTCATTGTTACACGTTTTTCATGTCTCATTATGATTACTTTACTATAATTATGGTTTTACTGATAATTACTGTGCTGGATGTACTGGCTTGAGCTTTCTATTTAAGTATCTTTGCTGGTGTAATGAGAAGTTGCATGTACTCTTAGAACTGTTCTTGAGTCTCTCAGAGACATGAACAGTCAAGGGGGGAATAACTCTGTTTTGATCTTCAGCCTTTCACAGCTGAGATTCTTGTCTTTAATGCGGATGTAAAATCATGGTAAAAGAAAGGAAATGTCTGTCTGTCTATATTCATTGCCAGCAAAAGGATGGGGTCAGTGTAGCTGTGTTTGAATAGACACGGTCGTTTTGTTACTGCAGCACAAGTTAAAATCTGTTCCATATTTCTTCACAAGACTGTGCACCTGGAGATGACTGAATTGTTTGGCATCTTCATGGTTGTTTCGGGGCGGTGGCGTAGCCTAGTGGTTAAAGCGTTGGCTCGTCACACCGAAGACCCGGGTTCGAATCCCCACATGGGTACAATGAGTGAAGCCCATTTCTGGTGTCCCCCGCCGTGATATTGCTGGAATATTGCTAAAAGCGGCGTAAAACCATTTTCAGTCAGTCAGTCAGTCATGGTTGTTTCCTTGGCAGGTCTAAAGATTCAAGTTCAGTATCTTCACAGAACCTTTTGCACCATAGATTCATCCGAGTGAGGAGCTTAGAGGCTGCCTTTCAAATTGTATATTTAGGCACTCGATGGGTTCAGTGAATGGCAGTCTGTCACACCAAATCGTTGGATTCTCACTCACTCACTCACTCACTCACTCACTCACTCACTCTCTCACTCTGTATCTTCATTCTCGCACTCTAATTACAGTGATGTCCCAATGTTCCTGATACTATATGTTTACTTCCTCTTTTGTTTATCACTCAGGGTTTTGCAGTTTTTCAATGCATCAGCAGAAGAGTATAGCGTTGTCTTCACATCCGGCTGTACCCAGGCTCTCAAGCTTATAGCCGAGACATTCACATTCCATGATGACACAACTCCTGAAGACCCATCTCAGACCAGGGATGGGGGTGGCAGCTTTGTGTACCTGCTGGACAATCACACCTCGGTGCAGGGAATGAGGGAGCTGGTCAGTGACAGGGTGGCCGGGGTATACTGTCTGGATGAGGAGGAGCTGGATCAAGACATCCCACAACACCTTAATCAGATCCACCTTAGATGCCAAGCTTCCGATCAAAACAGACCTGAATCAAACCAACAAAGTGTTGATGTGTCCACAGACAAGTGTAATGTGCTCCCATCAAACAAACTTAATCAAAGCCAAGATCAATCTGACGATACTGCAGTCCTGACAACTGTGGATGTATCTAGGTCAGGAGAAAAACAACATGTGACTTCCAAATGCCATAAAAGCCGAACCAAAGATCAAACAGGACTGTGTAATTTGTTTGCCTATCCAGCACAGTCTAACTTTTCTGGTAGAAAGTACCCTTTGAGCTGGATAGACAGGGTCCAGCGAGGTGACATGGGCTTCCAGAGCAAGTTGCCAGGGAAATGGTACGTGGTTCTAGACGCTGCCAGCTATGTGAGCACTTCCAAGCTGGACTTGAAAAAGCACAAGCCTGATTTTGTGACGTTGTCTTTCTACAAGATCTTTGGTTTCCCAACTGGTCTAGGTATGTATGCAAATTAATACGCCACAAATAGGGCTGCGCAATATAACCAGTTTACCGGTATTTACCGGTTCAGACATGAAAACGATACGTATTGCGATACGCTGATCGAAAACCAGTATTTTTACTTTCATTCATAAAAATTCGTAACACTCGGAACTCTTTCGATATTTCCTTGTTTCATTTGTGCCAAATATTATTTACATTTTTATTTTGTCATGATTAAAAGTGTTTATTAAAGCTTTATCAAGCATAGTGATTTTGTTGTGTTCATGCTTTATAAATCAAGCATTAACTCGATTATACATATTTTTTGGTTTAAAAATACTTCTTGAAATATATTGCAATACATATCGCAATATATGTTTTCGCATCGCAATATATTGCAATATGAAAATTCTCTGCAATACCCACCCCTAGTCACAAAGGTGGATCAATAAGCATCCTCACATACAGAGTAGCTGTCCCTGGGACAAAGGAATATTCTGTAGAGAGTCCCTGATAAGAATTTATTCTATGCAAAAAGACCCATGTAAGCAGTAGGATGATGTCACTAGAGATATAATGACATAGCATGACTAAGCATAGCGTTACAGATGCAATCATGGGTGGATATGGTGGGTATCCATTGTTATCACAATCATTGACATCGGCGTTGTCATCATCATCATCATCATCATCATCTTCATCTTTCAAACGTAAGTCTATGTTTTATGAAGTTACAAAATATATCAGGAAATTAAGATCCTGTATTTTCAGTGTGGAATAAGGATAGCTCAAGATTTAAGCTTTCAAATTTAAATTTGAAAGCATTCATGCTACATTATCCTTGTCATGTGATACAAGATGACTGTTGACAGGTGCCCTCTTGGTCCGGGCTGACGCTGCTCCCCTGCTAAATAAGCGCTACTTTGGAGGGGGCACTGTTTCCGTGAGCGATGCAAGGGAGAGGTTCCATGTACTGAAGCCCACACTAGCAGACAGGTAACATGTCCTTCCACTCTCACAGCAGCTGCTCTACCAATACACCACAGATCTCGCACTTTGAATGTTTAATGTATTGTCACAAAGAAATTGATTAATATATCACCTTTTGCAGGAATAGTATAATGTAAGTCATGACATGTTTTGGGGCTTTGAAAATGTACATTTAACATTAACTGCAAAGGCAGATCAAAATGTGTGTGTGCGTGCGTGCGTGCTGCGCGTGTGTGCGTCCAGGGGTCGTTATTAAATGACCATTGAAACTCTCGTGAAAACGGATGAAAATGAACTGTGCACCCCCTTACTCAAAAAGCTGTATCCGCCCCTGGACTGGTAGTAAAAACTGGTGTGATAACAGATCACTGACAGAAAGTTAACCCTTACAGAAATGGTTGCAAAGCTCTACATCTGTTAACACTAATATCCAGTGGCTGGAGCAGCTTGGTCATTCCACCAGGAATCACAAGAGGGATTGTGTTCACTGTCTTTAATTTTTGCTTAATCCCATCGGTGATGTGAGCCCTCATAGAATCCATAATGAGACCGGCTTTCTTAAGATGGAAAAAGCCTCCTGGTCGTTTTTACAAAACACTGAGAGAGCCAGATAGCCATCTGCTCCTCGTCCATCCACCCCTTCTTGTTACACTGGATCACAATGCCACTTGGAAATTTCTCTTTTGGCTTTGTAATTCTCTTGAATATCACCATGGGTGGAAGCTTCTTTCCAGATGCTGTAACAGCCAGAACAACCGTAAACGACGGCTTCTCATGGCCTGTCGTCCGGATTGTGACGGTGTCTGCGCCTTGGGTTTCGACTGTCCGGCTCATCGGTATGTCGAATGTCAGAGGCACCTCGTCCATGTTGACAATTTGATCAGTATCGATCCCATGTTCTTTGACTACTGAACTAACATAATCCTTAAAGGTCTCCAGTTTCTCTTGGAAGTCAGCTGGTAATTTCTGTGCCATGGTAGTACGGGCCCTTATGGAAAGCTGCTGGCGCTTCATGAACCTGAAGCACCAAGATGGTCCTCCCATAAATTCGGAAATCCCATCTCCTTTGCAAGAACACAGGCCTTCAGGCGAATTTGAACAGTGCTCACACCCGACAGGCAGCTCTCTGTTCAAGGATCAGTCATGGATACTCTTCTCCAGCGCGAGCCATCTTGCTTTGTTCCCTCGGAAGAGACTTTGTTGTTTTTCTTACGTTTTGGGAGTTGGTCCTTCTGTTTTCGCCAATATCTTATCAAGGATTCATCAACTCCAATTTCTGTGCTGACTGGCGATTCCGTTTTCTTGGCAAACTTGATGCGCCTCAAGTTTGAAGGCAGCTGTATAGCTCTTCCGTTTTCGTACTGGCGGCATTAATTAAATTATCAAAGAATGTGTATCGCAGTGAAAGATGAATAAAATGTGTGATAAATAAATTCTGTCTGAGGGGTATAAATAAGGGCAAGCAGACCAAGACCGATTGGTAAAAAACAAAAGAAATATTGTAAAACTATCAATGACAGCTCAGACCTGTGAGTCTCAATACATACAACTAAACTGTTCAAATATTTATTTTACCTAAAATGACTGTGAACACATACGCAGGTGGGAGGACAGCAACTAAACTGTTCAAATATATATTTTACCTAAAATGACTGTGAACACATGCGCGCGGGTGGGAGGACAGCAACTAACAATATTGATTTTCTTAATTGTTGTGACAACACTACATCGAGCGAAATCTCTTTGTAATCCAACGAATTGCATTAGGATTGTGTTGACAGTATTGTATTCTTAATTTTGTTTCTTTATATACAATATATTATCTTGTAGCAAAATACATTACTGACCCTTTTAACTAATCCGTGGCCCTCCCTCATTAATTATCAACGACACTAAATTACGAAAAACATCAATGTAAATACCTGCCACGCCCACCCACATGTCGCGACAAGTTCATGAATATTCATACAAGAACCCGACACCTCCATGGCTAAATGTCGATTGCTATTTTTATACGTTTTAGAAATGAAATAATCACGGAAGTAAATTCACAGTACCATTTATAAACTTTTGCTGTCAATAAAGTATGTATTAGCATTGCTGATTCCGTAATTAACGACAAAAGTTTTTGCTTTTGCACACGTCCGACATTTTTTGGCGTTCCTGACAGCCAGGGTTGCGATCGATCTGCTGGTGGAATTACGGAAGGCATTGTATGCTCTTTGAACATTTTCATAACAGTTACAAGCAGGGTTGTTTTATTCATAAATCAAATCTACTGTCATATTATTGATATACCGCTCGATTTGAAATTGAAAGTCCGCGTTTAAATAGCTCATCACGACTGACTACATTCTCAGGGTATTTTATAACACTTCCTTAAAAACTCTTGTTTTCTCCGTGTAAAATCCACACATAACCCGCTCTGGATTATAACCCGCACTGCCACATAGCCCGCAGTTTCAGAGGGAAAAGATCACGGGTAATAGTGCAAAAATACGGTATATATTTCAGTGGAACAACATGAAGATTTTATGGATGTTTCATGTGATAATCCAACCATGAGATTCCAGTTTCAGACATAGGTCTTTACTCTGTATTTGTGTCTTGAGTGAAAGTGAAACAATATATCTGTGTATTTCTGGCAATCATTAACCACTAGTTTGAAATACATTGTAACATTTGGGCCAACCTAAATTGAACTCACTGTCCCGGCATATTTCCCAGGCAACACAAGTCCCCATTTAAGGAATCTGAAATGACATAATAATTAAAGATATTTGTCTTTAGGTTTGAAGATGGCACCCTTCCATTCCTGGACTTGATTGCTCTGAGGCATGGACTGGATGCAGTACACAGGATTGCTGGTATGTCTCAGTCGTCCGTCTTTCAGTTATACTGCTCAACTGTTGACAGGGATATTTCATACAAAACATGGGGGAGGTGGGGTAACCTAGTGGTTAAAGCGTTAGCTCATCACGACGAAGACCTGGGTTCTATTCTCCACATGGGTACAATGTGTGAAGCCCATTTCTGGTGTGCCCCATGGTGATATTGCTGGAATATCGCTAGCAGCATCAAAGTTCACTCACTCACTCACTCACTCACTCACTCACTCACTCACTCACTCACTCACTCACTCACTCACTCACTCACTCACTCACTCACTCACTCACTCACTCACTCACTCACTCACTCACTCACTCACTCACTCACTCACTCACTCACTCACTCACTCACTCACTCAACTGGTTCATGAAAGACTATGAAAACTCCATTGCAGGTCCGAGTTCCATTCGGTATCTAACTGATTCCAGGACTTTGATGATCTGCTGGGGTTATAGACAACATATATGATTCATAACAGTGGTTAAAGCTATATATTCATTCTATTTATTCATAAAAGATTTATTGTGGTAATCAGTCAATATTTTGCCTGATATTTAGTGTTGTGATTGTGTTTGCAGGTGACATGGACAGGGTGTCCAGCCACACCTTCACAGTCGCCAAGTTTTTCCATGACCACCTTCGTCAGCTACGCGACGGTAATGACACCCCTGTAGTTCGCATCTACTGCCAGGGCTTCGAGGACATACACACCCAGGGAGCCATTGTCAACTTCAACATCCTCAGGGACAATGGAGAGTTTGTTGGCTTTGCTGAGGTTTGTTTATAAAATCAGCAGAGATATGTGATGTTAATGGAGGGAGTGAGTTGGGTTTTATGCCACTTATAGCATGTTAAAGGTCACATGCAGCGTAAAACACAACTTTGCAGATTCTGATAGCTTTCGGTATGGACTTACCAAAACAAATCATCAAAAATGCAAATTCAACTTATAAAGTTGAAAAATAGCGCAATGAAAAAAACCCCCACGAAATCGGAGTTCAAACGAATCACTAATTTTCCCCCAGCGCTTGGGGGAAAAAGTGGTTTCAACAGCTGGGCTGCACTCATAGCACATGCTCAGTGAAATAGGTTCGTGCAGCTTCGAAGCGGGTTGTCCGTTGAATACTACTGATAGAGACTCCGATTGCAATCTCTACTAGTAGGATCTGAGATTCTACCAGTAGAGACTCTGATCACAACCTCTACTGGTAGAGACTCCGATCGCAATCTTTACCCTGACATATATCTGTTTATGCCAACGGAGTGATATATGATAGCTACTAAGGCTGCCTGAGTTGGCACATTATTTCAGGCAGGATATAATTTCTTTGAAAGGAGTTGCAAAACATATTTTTGTGGGACCCCCAGCTTACTATTTGTGAGAACATCCTGCATGTGTATATTGTGTTTGGTGGGTTGGTTTGCTGTTTAACACTGTGCTCAGTAATATTCCAGCTATATGACGGCATATCCAGTGATCAACAGCATGAGCATCGATTTACGCAAATGGGATACGATGACAAGTGTCAACCAAGCCAGCGAGGCTGACAGCCTGTTCACATTAGTCGCCCCATACGACAAGCATGGGTTGCTAACAATCAATTCTAACCTGGATCTTCATGGGTCTATAGTGTTTGTACAACCTGAGGACAATTGTCTTTAGAAGAACAAATACTGTTCCCCGGTCATTTCCTCAAACACCTGTTGTGTTACCTGCAGGTAGACAAGATGGCCCAGCTGCAGGACGTCCATCTGAGGACCGGCTGCTTCTGTAACATCGGGGCATGTCAGAAATATCTCCACCTCACCTCTAAACAGATCAGGGAAAACTTCCAGGTGAGTTTCTTAAAAATATGGATCTTCTACTTTTATGGTCACATTACAATAATTTAAAGTTTGTAGTTGTACACAAATACAGTCTAATTTTGTTTGCTATCCACCACAACACACGTTGCGGGGCATATTAAAATGGACTGTGTCCATACGTCTGTGCACATTCGTCTTTTCCGGGAGCAGAACTTTAAAACCGTTCAATATTTCTTAACAAAACTTGGCACATAGATAGGTCTGGTGGTGTACTGGTGCCCTTTGGTACTTTTGGAATTCTGAATAAAATATGTTTCGTGTTTCCATGGCAACAAGTTTGACATCAACAGATATTGGTGGTAGTGCTCATTTCCGGAGCAGAACTTTAAAACCGTACAATATTTCTTCACCAAACTTGGCACATAGATATGTCTGGTGGTGTACTGGTGCCATTTGGTAATTTTGGAATTCTGAATAAACTAATTTTTGCATTTCCATGGCAACAAGTTTGACTTCAACAGAAATTGATGGTAGTACTCCTTTCTGGAGCAGAACTTTAAAACCTTTCAATACTCTCCTTCCAATTTACTATATACATGCAAAACATTTGACATAGTCATAACTGGTAGACATATTCATGAAGAGTATTTAGCTATTGCAGGGAATATTGATGTCTTTGTCTTCATGTTCAGTTTGTTTTGTTCCACTCTCACTGTTACAGGCTAATCGGGTCGGTGGGGTAGCCTAGTGGTTAAAGCGTTGGCTCGTCACGCCGAAGACCAGGGTTAGAATCCCCACATGGGTACAATGTGTGAAGCCCATTTCTGGTGTCCCCCGCTGTGATGTTGCTGGAATATTGCTAAAAGCGGGGTAAAACCAAACTCAGTCAGTCAGTTACAGGCTAATCATGCAGTGTTGTCTCACTGACTGTTACAGGCCGGCCATGTCTGTGGAGATGACCAAGACATGATTGATGGTCACCCAACTGGATCAGTCCGCATCTCCTTCGGCTACATGTCAACATATGGAGATGCAGTACAGTGTCTGCGTTTTATCACAGAATACTTTCTTGAGGGACGGGCAATCCCAGAATTCCCTGTTCCAATATCCGTCAGTGTTTCCAATGCCAGTCCAGCGAAGTCTTCAGTTCCTGAACTCAGTCAAACATTAAATTATCCTGAAAGGCAGTTGCAAAAAGAGGAAGAGAACTTGAGGAAGAAGGAGGAAGAGGTCCTTGAAAAGTGTTCTGAATCATCTAGGTTCCTCACCAAGATCTGTCTGTACCCTGTCAAGTCTTGTGCTGCCTTCCAGGTGGGTCTGTCTCCTAGCTCCTAGTAAATAATCTCATATTTCCTAGACCATTTCCTGTACAGACCTTTTCTCCACGTTCTTTGGTCTTTAATGCCAATACCCTCTAGTTCCTTGATCTATAATGACCATATCTCCCACCTCCATGGTCTAATATGTCCATACCCTGTAGATCCTTGGACTATAATGTCCAAATATTTCCTTCCTCTATAATGTCCTTGCCAGTGAACGGAATAGACCATTAATGGAATGGTATATATTATTAGCTCTTTATATTAACTGATGTTCTGTGTTCCAGGTTTCAGCATGGGAAGTTGGTCCTCGAGGGCTGCTGTATGACAGAGAGTGGATGATTGTCAGTGAAAGTGGAGTCACCCTGGGTCAGAAGAGAGAACCAAAGTTGTGTCTCCTCCAGCCTTCCATAGATCTCCTATTCAACACATTCACCCTCAGCTTCCCAGGTGAGAACTGTCTGTGAATCCTGCACTTCACAGCCTCTGGCTTTGTAACTGAAGTTTTTAGTTATGATCACAGTGTAATATCGTGTCATTTGAGGAAGGCCCAAACAGATGCAGGTCTGGATGTTCACCACTCTCATGATACCCACAACCTTCTGTGGGGTGCTGGGGTGGCCTTGTGGTGAAAGCGTTTGCTCGTCATGCCGAGGGTTCGATTCCCGGTACAATGTGAGAAGCCCGTTTCTGGAATCCCCTGCCGTGATATCGCTTGAATACTGATATATCTGAATAAAACGATACAACTCACTCATTCACTCTTTGTGGTGCTGATAAATCGTTAACCTTATCCAGGACAAACCCATAAATCAGAATTTTTCCTTATCCTGACTCATGCTAATTATGCTTGTCTCCTTCCTCTTGCAAATGATAGTGGAACACTTGAAATCCCTTCAAGTTCCCTTTAAGAAAGTGGACGTAAAATCCCTCACCCAAGAGTAGCATCCCTTTCCTCCCTTTGGCGCCCAAATGGTCACATGATCGGCCATATTTGTCACTCTCCTTCTTCGCCCTTGAGGATGGTTGTGAGAGCACCTGGGTCCCTATATGGCACATATCCTTTATATTTTCGGACCTAAAATCAACATGATTGCTGTATACGGTTTTTAGGATTATATTCTACATTACGGTTGGAAATTTGATTTAATTTTCCGTTGGTTGACATGTGTTTTCTTCATGTTTACATTTGATGAAATCTTGTATTCGTTGTAGGTACCGAGTGTCTGCGGCTGACGCTCGTTTATTATGTCCTAATTGCACTGTTTCATGTTCTTGCAGCTCTCTCTGTAAGTCTTGTGTAAATGATGTAAGGTTGATGATGACTACAAGATTATCACCGACTCCAGTCAAAGAACTTACAAGATTGAGGATAAGAAGTTAGCGCAGCTGGATACAACCACCAGACGTACTTTCTTCGGATTAGCTAGATCGAGGGCTATCAACGAAACACTCATCTCGAAGTTCAAGAATTCCTCCGCCGAAGAAGACCGGATGATATACTCCACTCTACTAATGCAGAAGAGAGACCATCAGTTTATGTCGGAGCACCTAGCATCCACCTCAGCGGGCTTGACTCTCCTGAGAAGACAAGGGTTATTGTCAGCATGCACTTGGAGTGAACGCTTCACCAAGTCTCTATACAGAACCCCATGGTCATCATCTTACATCTTCGGAGGAGGAATTGAAGAAGTCCCCAGAGAAGTCTCTCATGACTCTAGGGAAGTTATGATGATTAAATCCATCGACACCTTGGCTTACATGATTCGTCAGACGTCCCAATGCTACTCCAGCAAATCTAAGTTTGCAGGAGTCCAGAGAGCCAGAGAAAGAAGTATTCCAGCATGAAAGGAGGAAGAGGCTCCTTTCGTCGCCCAACTGGAGCTCCTAGAGGTAACCCTGGAAGAGGCCGAGCACCTAGGGGTGCAAGAGGAATCAAGCATTGAAGGCCAGGTTCGGAATGACTGGAGTCTTCCACCCCCAGCCGTTCCTGTACAACCTTCAACAGTGGGTGGACATCTTCAGCGGTACTGGGAGAATTGGGGAATACTACAGGACGACTACGTATCCCAGATACTGCGCAGAGGGTACAAGATACAGTTGGAAGCCACTCCGCCGCTCACAAGCAACCCGATGGCCTTCAACTATGCAGCCGACCAGATAGAGAAACTGGACAATGCTATCAAGACCCTACTCGACAAAGAGGCAGTAGAAGAGATAAATCAAGATCTCATCATGCCCGGGTTTTACTCCCCAATTTTCCTGGTACCGAAGAAGAATTCCAAGGAGAAATTTTGGCTCATCTACAACATGAGCCTAGACGACGGGATTCAAAAGCTCATCAAGATCCCAGTCAACTCAGACTGCAACTAGACTTCACCATCAGGCTCCTCACTCAACTAGGATGGCTAGTGAATCTCCTCAAGTTGGAACTGGAGCCGAAACAAGATCTGCAATTCCTAGGAATTCGACTCATCACACCACTGAATCGCATAGTCGTTCCAGAGGATCATTGGGTCAAAATACAACAGATGATATCTCAAGCATTGCTCTCACTGTTGACACTACGTGCTTGGCAAAGCATGCTCGGTCTACTCACCTCAGCTCAAGACATGACTCGCAGAGGGAGATTAAAGTTGCGCCCACTACAAGTATTTGTGAACGCCCACCTAGACAGCCTAGATCCGTTAATACTACCGGACAGCCTGAAACCATATCTCCTATGGTGGACCCAGAAGTCGAACGTTTGCGGAGGGACCTTTTTGTCAGAGCCGGTTTGCAACACTCATCTCTACGTGGATGCCTCCCTACAAGGATGGGGTGCGCACTTCAACAACAAAGTGGCAGCAGGAAAGTGGTTGAGTCAGGATCAGAAGTCACACATCAATCTGTTGGAGATGAAAGCAGTAATCAAGGCTTTACAACATTGGTCCAGCGTACTAAAGAACACACGACTCATGGTACACACGGACAACTCCACAGTGGCGTTTTACATCAACAAACAAGGGTCAACAAGATCAAGAAGTATGCTACAACTCAGCTTTCTCCTGTTCAGCATAGCTGACGACCTGAACATCTACATGAAGGCATGCCACATGCCGGGAGCAAAGAATGTCATAGCAGACGCCCTATCTCGTCCACTACAACCATCCCCGACGGAATGGATGTTGCATCCAGAAGCATTCCAGTTCATCAGACAAACTATAGGATCCCCACTAATAGACCTGTTTGCAACAAACTTCAGCAAACAGCTACCAACGTTCGTCTCACAGATTCCAGATCCTCAGTCATGGGCAACAGATGCTCTAAGCATCTCATGGGAAGGACTAAACGCCTACGGTTCCGCCTCCTGCACTGCTACCACAAGTAATACAGAAAATCAAGCAGATGACTACGTTGCAACTGATTTTGGTCGCACCCTACTGGCCAGCGAGGGTATGGTTTCCCGTCCTCATACAAGAACTCGGAAGTCCAACCCTGAAACTACCAGAGTGGTCGAACCTACTCGTCCATCCACACACCAAGCAAGCTCACGGGAACCCGACACTGTTCCAGCTACACGCGCGGAGCGTATTAAAGCTTGCCTGAAGACTAGAGGGTACTCCGCCAGAGCAGCGAAAGCAGTAACACTAGCTACACGCAGATCAACTCGCAACTTGTACAACGACAAGTGGCAGAGATTTGAACAATATGCAAAGGGGAAAGGCTTTACAGTGGTGAAAGCAACACATCCTCAAGTGGCGGAATACTTATGTCATCTACGACAGACGAGACACTTAGAAGATTCAACACTCTCAACTTACTTATCACCATGAAAACGGGTATCAAGCTGACCAAAGTACCAGAGATTCTGGCACTACTACTCTCATTCAAGTTGGAAGAGCAACAAAAGAAATTTAAGGCTCCTGTCTGGGATCTCAACATAGTTTTACAACATCTCACCAGTGATGCGTACGAGCCTCTAGAACGGACATCCTTTGAACTACTAACTCAGAAAATGCTGTTCCTGATCGCCCTAGCAACAGCTGCAAGGATGTCAGATATACCTGCTCTGGACTTGGAACGAACACGATTTGAATCAAGACATCGTGACATTGTACATCTTGGACTGAGATGGGATTTTATCGCCAAGAACCAACTGCCTGGTCAGCCTGACAGACAGTTCCACATCCCAGCACTATCTACAGTCCTTGGGCAACAGCATACACAGGATCTATCCTTATGCCCAGTCCTTAAAGTCTACCTACAGAGAACTAAAACACGGAGACGAAAATTCAAGCGCCTATTCATCCCCTTATCCACTGAGACGCCACCAGAAGTCTCTCGGACAACGATATCGATCTGGATGAGAGCCGTTATACTAAAGGCCTATAAAGCAGCAGGACTTGAGCCTCCACGAGCCTCCAATCCACATGAAGTCAGAGCCCTGGTGTCAACACTTGCTCTGCATGGAAACTGCTCGATTACAACTATAATGGAGGGCTGCTTTTGGAGATCGAACACAGTGTTTGCTAACCACTACCTCAGAGACATTGCCACTGAAGACGTCTGAGGCATTCACCAGTTTGGGCCACTTGTTGTAGCACAACAACTAACGAAGGTGCTGAGTAGATCTCACCCCTTTTATCACAAGACTTGTGAAAACCAACGCTCTGGAGAGCAATGGCTATAAGTCAATGCACAAGTCTAGGACAGACTAGCATGAGTGATAGACCCTGTACTTGTATAGGACATACTCGTACATGAAGAAGGGTCGCATCTCCACTTGATGCGCGCATCAAGAGATGGAGTTGCAATAGATAACTAATGGAATATTAGTATATCTAAAATCCATATGAAGTTGTCGGGAGAAGTTTCGGAAGAAATCTGAAAAGTTGTAGTCCCCCCAGACTCATCAGAGAGAAATTGAAAGAATCTTCAACAGTGCTGTCATAAGTTCCCAAGGGGGGTAGTACAAGCATAATTAGCATGAGTCAGGATAAGGAAAAATATGTAATTTTCTGACTAAAATTGATATTTTATACTTATCCTGACTCTTATGGCACTCTGGATTTCCCTGTAAGAAGGAGAGTGACAAATATGGCCGATCATGTGACCATTTGGGCGCCAAAGGGAGGAAAGGGATGCTACTCTTGGGTGAGGGATTTTACGTCCGCTTTTTTAAAGGGAACTTGAAGGGATTTCAAGTGTTCCACTATCATTCGCAAGAGGAAGGAGACAAGCATAATTAGCATGAGTCAGGATAAGCATAAAGTATCAATTTTAGTCAGAAAATTACATATATATTTGACATTTTCTTGGTTAATATTCTTATTATTCATGTTATTATTACGAATCTGTTTTTGTAGAGACACAATCCATCACCATTTCTCTGACAGCTTTGGACAGTAACAGTGTGGACTATAAAGGACGGCTGTGTACCAACAAAGTTTGTGGAGACAGGTAAACATCCTTCATGTTCAGAGGTAGCCCCATGGTGAAAGTGTTCACCCCAAGGAATAGGGTTGATTCCCCACCTGGGTACTGTGTGTCAAGCCCATTTCTGGTTTACATGGACTTAAGTACACAACCAGCGGAGATTACTCATGGACAATAAATTATGGATTATTTTTGACATATTAATTTCAAAGATTCTAAGTGAAGTCCAATAGTTGATTGGGTGGCATATAAATCGGGGTGCAGGTCAGGTTTACTTGAGTTCATTTGTCCTGCAAAGGAATACAATTGTGCAAGGAACAGAGGCCCAGATAAGCTGCGTATCCAGGTAAAATACACATAGAAAATTTCCAAATTTTAAAACTTATCCTATCTCACGATTTGCACTTCTCTCTCTTGCTTCGGTGCTGAGTGGAATGAATGAGAACTTTTCCTGTAGGCCTCTCTTGTCCATACGCCCGTGTTCCCCAGGCAGCTCTCCTTATAGGACAGGTCCCTAGTCCCCGGCTAAGCGTGCAGCACATTCCCCTGTCTACCCACGTGACTACCTCAGAGTGATCATTCTTCTTCTTGTCGCACCACTGTGTGGACATATTGTGAGAGTTCTCAGCTTTCCTTACAAGGTAACATGAGAAATATATCATTGGTAGTTGACCCTAAGTAGCGTAATTTTGCACACACTGTAACAATATTTACTTCCTCGGATCCCACTCGTCATGTGTGGGTTGTATTGACCTGTGTTCCTGGAGCAAACGTTGTCGGGAATGTGCTCCCTTATCAAGGACGATTTTAGAGCATATAGACATGGTTGCTCCCGTTGGCTGGCAGACAGAGCTTGTTACACTTCAACAGTTGATCACCCGACAAACACCCGCTTTCAACGACCAGTATTAACTGCTCGTCGTCCGGAGATTCCCATGTCGGACGGTGATGATTTTATTGGCGCATCATCAGATGTCTATTCGTCGTTCCGCCTCATCAAACCGCTCTGTGTTGCCAGCTGACTCACACAGCTGATCTACATCATCAAATCGCCGAACCGATTCACCACACCGAATCGGTTTGCCATACCGAATGGATTCACCAGACCGAACCGTTTCGCAGCGGAGTATGTGGATTACGACATCGACTCATATTCGCCAAAATATTAAGACTGTTTCTTATCGCCGAAACGGTTCACATCGTCGATTCGATTCACAGCACCGAAACGGCTCTCTTCACCAAAATGATTCACCTCGGCCGGAACATTTCACCTTGCCTCACCGGTTCATCTGATCGTTCTAGATCTCTCCATCAGCTGAGATCATTTAAACGTTTCAGATTACCGAACCGATCCAGCTCACAATGCCAATCCAGATCACGGACTGATTCAGATCACATCAACGTTCCGGTTCACCACCCTGAACCGATTTAAAAGCCTGACTCGTACCGTTTCACCAGGCCGAACCGCTTCCTATCGCCGAACCAGTTCACCTGGCCGTTCAAAATCACTGAATTGTCAGCATTCATCGAACTGTCAGCATTCGTCAATAATCTGTTCCTCGGACCTTGCCAGCAATTGAGCTTATTCACGAATTGGGCGATTCACCACTCGTGTTATTTCCAACACGGCGCATCTTACCAGCCTATTAGAGCCCATGCCAAATGTGTTTGGGATGCCTCCCAAGACACTTAACCCACATCGAACCTCGTCTTTGTTTTCATGGTTCGGGCTATGCCAGTCGCCTATAAGATGCAGGAATTGTTTTGGTTGATTCGACACACATGATCGCATGATTCGCCGACCACTTCAGCTACCTAGAGCGAGATACTAAATGTTCTATTGATTACATTCAGCATGAAGGATCGTACTTGTCAACACTGGTTTTCCACATCCTCAACAAGGTTCATGAACTTGCATCTAGATAGGGCCAAATTTATCGAACTCTGCTAGTTTTCAACACGATCCTAGTTTTCAGGGCATCTGCGAGGCGCTGAACTCCTCATTACGAAGTGGCAAGCTCTAAGCACGACAATTTGATTTGTTTATCCGGTTTACCTTACGGCTTGTGAGGCGCTTAATGTTTTTAGTCACATAACTTATCCCACCTTGTACCCCTTTTTCCGGCTGGTTGAACAGAGGTAGTAGCTGTGTGCTTCACCATGCCGAATCGATTTACATGTGATGTCAGTAGCGCAGTCATCTAGACATATCACGCTCGGCACTTGACGGTCTGACAATCCCAGTTCTCAAGTGTCCTCCGTGACCGGGGCTCATCTCATTCCAGACTTAATCTACCATCCGATCTTCACCTTTGATGAATGATTCGGTTCAACGAATCTATCCTTCGTTGTAGATATCAGTTCTACAACCACCCGATAGGGCATTACTAAGCTTGCTAGCCAGGAATACTTTACCCCGCTTCACTGAGTCTTGTTACTACAGACTACTGGTAACAGCGTGTTTGTGTATCGCTGGGTGCAATTATTGCAGATGGTCCATCATCTTCTGCTCCCTTTGTTTTACATGATAAGCAAGTTTCGGGACAGATAACAGATGGGTAAAGTTTTCACGCATGGTACCAGCAGTGATGTTTTGTCAAATAGCCAGCATAGCTCAGCCCGGAATTTATGGGTTGCGACTCGCCCGGTTAACCGAAGACCGTATTGTCCGTTGTTTTTTTCACTCGTGTGTAACGTTTGCAAATGGCGGACTACTGAATTTTACCGATGATTAGAGTGACTATGAAGTGCCCTTGCAGACATGTCTTGGTCCCACAAATCGGATATCAAGTCCAGCCTTTAAATGCTAGTAACAATGAACGGTGCCATTCCCGGTAAGAGTGATTGTGTCGGGATTTCGACAGCCAGTTGAGAGAGAACTCCCGTGAACGGTTTGACTTTTGCTGGGGTTACTCGGTTTTCTACACTAGCTCAAGCACTGAGTTCAGAGGTCACTGCAGTTATGTGTCACTGTCACCAGGCAGCGATCTACTACCTTTATCACTCCACCTGGCGAACCATCATTTTGTTCGGCCAACTGAAACGTTCGAATTTCTTCAATTTGTTTACAATGTGAACGTTCCTGTAGATTGACTGACAATCTCCATGTGCCGAACATACTACATTCAGCACTCCGTTAGAACTGACATAGTAGCTCGACTTATTGAATGTTCTTATCTCAGGAGATATCTCTTTGTCAGATAAACCTCTCATTTCCCTCGACCTGCGAGACGCCTACCTTCACATCCCGATACATCCAGACCATCAGAAGTATCTTCAATTTACTTTCAAGGGGCGTCATTGATACCAATGGAGGGTCCTGCTGTTTGGCATATGTATGGCCCTGTGGCTTTTTATTCAGATACCCAATCCGATAACAAGCTACCTGCATTGTCGAGGCGTGACATTCGAGAACTATATTGACAACTGTGTTCAAGCCCAGCAGGATCCAGTCGTCCTTCCTCTCCACAGGCAGTTCATCATTAAGTTGCTCATGCAGTTAGGATGGCTGCTGAATTCGGAGAAATCTGAGGTAACACCGACCTGGTGATTTCTTTTTATTGGGACAATATTCAACACAACAGGTCATGATGTTTGTGCCCCAGGAGAGGTGGGACAAGATTCAGTGCAACGCACCACTAGTGCTGGTCCAACCCGCAACCTTTCGCTAGTGGCAGAAGGTACTAGGGTGGTTGACGTCGGCACAAGCGCTGATTTACAGGGGCTAGCTGCAGCTTCGCCCTCTTCAGATGTTTCTGTGCCCATACATCCGGGATGACAACCCCAGGGAGTTGATTCATCTTCCTGCACAACTACATTCAGTCTTTCGTTGGTGGCTCAACAAGTGGAATGTTTGCGTTGGAGTCTCTATGGTGCCCTTCATACTGACTCAACACCTGTTCGTCGACGCATCTTTCAAGCTGGGGCGCTCACTTTCTCCATCAAGTGGACTAGCAGAAAACATGGTCATCAGGAGAAAGGGCCCTTCATATCAACGAATTGGAATTCAGCACTGTCATTCTCGCCGTTCGGCATTGGGCAGTTGAACTACAGTTCACTCATATACTGATTCAATCAGACATTCGGGGCGGTGGGGTAGCCTAATGGTTAAAGCGTTGGCTCGTCACGCCGAAGACCCGGGTTCGAATCCCCACATGGGTACAATGTGTGAAGCCCATTTCTGGTGTCCCCCGCCGTGATGTTGCTGGAATATTGCTAAAAGCGGCGTAAAACCAAACTCAGTCAGTCAATCAGACATTCCGATGGTAATTTTGTACATAAACCATCAGGGGTCGACAGGATCAGCATCTCTGCTTCAGTTGATGTTTCGAATTTATCATCTGATCAGTTCACTCAACACAGTGGCCAGAGCCCGACACATTCCCAGGATGAGGAATGTCATTGCCAATGCCCTGTCACATCGCAAACGCCCGTCACTCATAGAGTGGAGACAACTGCCTCTGATATTCCAATCGAAGATCTACCTGTAATCATGACCAGAGGTAGACCTGTTCGCCACTCGGGACAACCATCAGCTTCAGCGCAGATGATCACCAGTTGCGATCGTTTCTGCTTTGTGTACAATCTGAATCAAATTCTGAATTTTATTTCTGTTTGGGTCTTCGATTCTTCTGGGACTTCGATTTCTCCTATCATTTTAATTTGAGACTCTGGAGAGTCGCCACCTCACTTACTGTCGTCTGCTCTGTGGAGTAATTACATCAGTGAAGTGAGTCATTCCCAAAGTGTTACACTTCGTAGTGTTCATGCTCCTAAGTACCTATACACATCTATGTGATCTTACTGCGGTAAGTAGTGGAAGTCATAAGATGATGTTGTGGTACCGAACGTTAAAATTGTGAGTTTCAATTCAATTACCCTTTCACCCTCCTCGGGATGGCGTCTGTGGGGGTTGTTTCGAAGCAGGGGCTGGCCCGATACTAGTCATTAGACTTTTATTACGGGGGTACCTTGGAAATCGTGGTAATGCGACTGATGACACTCACTAAGCTGCGTCCTTTCACTTTCGTGAAGCTAGTGACTGAACACCACATTACTTGGGAGTCCCGGTCCCTGGGAGCAATTGTGCTTAGTAAGTCAATGGGTTCGAACTAACCATCGCACGTAGTGACCTTGGTAGTTATGGGCCTACCTTGTCGTTGCTTCCTACGGATGTAGAAGTGTTCTACAATCTCGCTTGCTGACCTCTACTCCGCGGAGCAATCACGTCAGTGTAGTGAGTCCTTCCCGATTTCCTTATGGATTTCGTATCGTTCAAGCTCCTAAGTACCTTAGCAGACTGTTGTGACCTAACTGTGGTAAGTAGTGGAAGTCATGTGGTGTTGTTTTGGTGCTGAACGTTAAACTTGTGATTTTTCCGATTCAGTTTCCTTTTCCCCTCTTCGTGATGGGGTCTGGGGGGCTGTCTCGAAGCAGGTAAGGGCCCGACTACTAGTCGTTATTATGGGGGTACTCTGATAAATCGTGGCGAAGCAAGGTGACTTGCCTAGTTGCGTTTTCTTGCGTATGCGAGGTTGCTGCCGAAACACCACATTGCTCAGGAGCACCCACTCCTTGGGAGCGATGATGCCAAGTAAGCCAAGGGGTTCAGGAGAACCCATCACTAGTATAGATACTATGCTAGTTGGATCCTGCGGCTGAACACCACATTGCTCAGGAGCACCAACTCCTTGGGAGTGATGATGCCTAGTAAGCCAAGGGGTTCAGGAGAACCCATCACTAGTATAGATACTATGCTAGTTGGATCCTGCGGCTGAACACCACATTGCTCAGGAGCACCAACTCCTTGGGAGTGATGATGCCTAGTAAGCCAAGGGGTTCAGGAGAACCCATCACTAGTATAGATACTATGCTAGTTGGATCCCAAGCGGCTGAACACCACATTGCTCAGGAGCACCAACTCCTTGGGAGTGATGATGCCTAGTAAGCCAAGGGGTTCAGGAGAACCCATCACTAGTATAGATACTATGCTAGTTGGATCCTGTGGCTGAACACCACATTGCTCAGGAGCACCAACTCCTTGGGAGTGATGATGCCTAGTACGCCAAGGGGTTCAGGAGAACCCATCACTAGTAAAGGTACTATGCTAGTCGGATCCTGCAGCCGAACACCACATTGCTCAGGAGCACCCACTCCTTGGGAGCGATGATGCCTAGTAAGCCAAGGGGTTCAAGAGAACAAATCACTACATCACTAGTATAGGTACTATGCTAGTCGGAACCTGCCGCCGAACACCACATTGCTCAGGAGCACCCACTCCTTGGGAGTGATGATGCCTAGTAAGCCAAGGGGTTCAGAAGAACCCATTCACTAGTATAGATACTATGCTAGTCGGATCCTGGGGCCGAACACCACATTGCTCAGGAGCACCCACTCCTTGGGAGCAATGATGCCTAGTAAGCCAAGGGGTTCAGGAGAACCCATCACTAGTATAAGTACTATGCCAGTCAGATCCGGCCTCCCTTGTTCATTGCTATCTACGGTTGTCATTAGCCTATACAGTATATACTGTCAGTGCCTTTTGACTTAGGGTAATCTGTGACCCGCTGTCCAACCGTGGGATAAGTGCAAATCGTGAGATAGGATAAATTTAAAAATTTGAAAATTTTAATATAAATTGTATATTTATATACTTATGCTATCTCACGAGATGGATGCCCACCCAGCCTCCCCTCTACTCAGATTACGACGGTTACGTATAACTGTCATTGGCTCCAAGAAGAGAATGATTACTCTGAGGTAGTCACGTGGGTAGACAGGGGAACGTGCTGCTCGCTTAGCCAGGGACTAGGGACCTGTCCTATAAGGAGAGCAGCCTGGGGAACACGGGCGTATGGACAAGAGAGGCCTACAGGAAAAGGTCTCATTTGTTCCACTCAGTGTTGAAGCAAGAGAGAGAAGTGCAAATCGTGAGATAGGATAAGTATATATAAATATACAATTTATATTAAAATTTTCAATTACGCATTGAAAAATAATTGTTGCGTACCAATTATGCATTTAAAATGTTAGATACGCCAAAAGTAGTTTAAAACAAATGCGTACGGAATATATTATAAATATTGCGTAATGAAAAAGACATTGATTGCTATCATGTTGTACTGTTAGTATAGGACTAGTGTTGTACTGTCAGTATAGGATGAGTGATTTTTTATGAAATCATTTCCAATGTATTAAAGTTGGTTTTGATTAGGTTTGAATTAAGGCAGAACATACCTGCTTAGTAAACTTACTCAATGACATAATACTTAGGTGAGTAAAATGACTGAAATACGCACATACCGTATTTGAAAGAAGTGGGTAACGGAAAATGAAATACCCACTCAACATTCATAATACCCACTCAAGAAAATACAGTGGGTACAGTACCCACATGAGCTAAATCTTATCTGGAGCTCTGCAAGGAATACAATTGTCCTAAAGGATTACAGTTGTCCTACAGGGTGAACACTGTAGACTGTGGTGACAGAGTGGCTGACTGGCTGAGTGAGGCTCTAGGGAGACCTGGAACTCGACTTCTGAGACTGAAGCAGGAGGATACACGGACTGGGAGGCTGAAGGATGCAGCCACACATGGTGAGTTCATACACTGAGGAGTCTGAAGGATGCTGCCACACAGGGTGAGTTCATACACTGAGGAGTCTGAAGGATGCAGCCACACATGGTGAGTTCATACACTGAGGAGGTTGAAGGATGCTGCCACACAGGGTGAGTTCATACACTGGAAGGCTGAAGGATGCAGCCACACATGGTGAGTTCATACACTGGGAGGCTGAAGGATGCTGCCACACATGGTGAGTTCATACACTGGAAGGTTGAAGGATGCTGCCACACATGGTGAGTTCATACACTGGGAGGCTGAAGGATGCTGCCACACAGGGTGAGTTCATACACTGGAAGGCTGAAGGATGCAGCCACACATGGTGAGTTCATACACTGGAAGGCTGAAGGATGCAGCCACACATGGTGAGTTCATACACTGAGGAGGCTGAAGGATGCTGCCACACAGGGTGAGTTCATACACTGGAAGGCTGAAGGATGCAGCCACACATGGTGAGTTCATACACTGGAAGGCTGAAGGATGCAGCCACACAGGGTGAGTTCATACACTGGGAGGCTGAAGGATGCAGCCACACAGGGTGAGTTCATACACTGGAAGGCTGAAGGATGCAGCCACACATGGTGAGTTCATACACTGAGGAGTCTGAAGGATGCTGCCACACAGGGTGAGTTCATACACTGAGGAGTCTGAAGGATGCTGCGACACAGGGTGAGTTCATACACTGAGGAATCTGAAGGATGCTGCGACACAGGGTGAGTTCATACACTGGAAGGCTGAAGGATGCTGCGACACAGGGTGAGATCATACACTGGAAGGCTGAAGGATGCTGCCACACATGGTGAGTTCATACACTGGAAGGCTGAAGGATGCTGCCACACAGGGTGTGAGTTCATACACTGGAAGGCTGAAGGATGCTGCCACACAGGGTTAGTTCATACACTGGAAGGCTGAAGGATGCAGCACACACAGGGTGAGTTCATACACTGGAAGGCTGAAGGATGCTGCCACACAGGGTGAGTTCATACACTGGAAGGCTGAAGGATGCTGCCACACAGGGTGAGATTCATACACTGGAAGGCTGAAGGATGCAGCCACACAGGGTGAGTTCATACACTGGAAGGCTGAAGGATGCTGCCACACAGGGTGAGTTCATACACTGGAAGGCTGAAGGATGCTGCCACACATACACTGGAAGTGACACAGGGTGAGTTCATACACTGGAAGGCTGAAGGATGCTGCCACACAGGGTGAGTTCATACACTGGAAGGCTGAAGGATGCTGCGACACAGGGTGAGTTCATACACTGGAAGGCTGAAGGATGCAGCCACACAGGGTGAGTTCATACACTGGAAGGCTGAAGGATGCTGCCACACAGGGTGAGTTCATACACTGGAAGGCTGAAGGATGCAGCCACACATGGTGAGTTCATACACTGAGGAGTCTGAAGGATGCAGCCACACAGGGTGAGTTCATACACTGGAAGGCTGAAGGATGCTGCCACACATGGTGAGTTCATACACTGGAAGGCTGAAGGATGCAGCCACACAGGGTGAGTTCATACACTGGAAGGCTGAAGGATGCTGCGACACAGGGTGAGTTCATACACTGGAAGGCTGAAGGATGCTGCGACACAGGGTGAGTTCATACACTGGAAGGCTGAAGGATGCTGCGACACAGGGTGAGTTCATACACTGGAAGGCTGAAGGATGCTGCGACACAGGGTGAGTGGAAGGCTGAAGGACTGCGACACACAGGGTGAGTTCATACACTGGAAGGCTGAAGGATGCTGCGACACAGGGTGAGTTCATACACTGGAAGGCTGAAGGATGCAGCCACACAGGGTGAGTTCATACACTGGAAGGCTGAAGGATGCAGCCACACAGGGTGAGTTCATACACTGGAAGGCTGAAGGATGCAGCCACACAGGGTGAGTTCATACACTGGAAGGCTGAAGGATGCAGCCACATAGGGTGAGTTCAATACACTGAGGAGGCTGAAAGATGCAGCCACACAGGGTGAGTTCATACACTGGAAGGCTGAAGGCTGCAGCCACACAGGGTGAGTTCATACACTGGAAGGCTGAAGGATGCAGCCACACAGGGTGAGTTCATACACGATTTATCTGTTGTCTTTCACACACTGTGTTTGTTCCAGCTGCTTCGGACTCAACAAGACTGTCGCTGGCCAACGAATCACAGTTCCTGCTCGTCTCCAGGGAGAGTGTGAAGTCTCTTCAGAAGAAGATGGCTGACGAGGATGACGCAGATCAGGAGAAGATAGGACAATGTCAACGTCATTTTGGTGAGAGTAATATGTAGATATCAAGCTCTACTGAGGATGTTACAGCCTGTTACAACCTGTTCTCAGACTGTCTGATAGTTTATAATCATTGGCCTTTTGGCAGCATATACATAATGTAGAGTTTTCTGTTCTGTAAGCTTTGGCCAGTGTCTGATACCCACTTGTAGTCAGGCCTCCTGTTCTTACCAAACAGGGCAGTGGGGTGGTCTAGTGGTTTAAGCATTCGCTCATCACACCAAAGATCCGGGGTCGATTCTGCACATGGTTACAATGTGTGAAGCCGATTTCAGGTGTCCCCCACCGTAATGTTGCTGGAATAATGCTAAAAATGGCTTAAAACCAAACTCCCTCACTCACTCTTTGCCGCACAGATAACATGTAACTATACTGACATTACAGGAACCTTTTGGAGTTATGCCTGTTCATGTGACATGATTGGTCTCGCAGCCACATACCTCATAGGTTACACTAGCAGTAAACATAAATGACTTGCACCACTTTGGTCTGTTCGCCCTCATCAAGCTGACACTTTGTAATGTTAGGACTTGTTTTTAATTACTTGGTTTACCGATTTTTTTAAACATTATTAGGCCAGTAGGGAGGGAAAAAAGGGAATATGGAGATGTTTGCACACTTGAATATATTGTGGTGTTATGAGTTCTGACAATTTGTGTGATTTTCTTTTGTAAAATACAAAATAGTTTCAGGGAATAATTTGAGGTATAATTTGCTATTTTATTAAAACAAATTATCAGGTCGGTGGCATCTAATTTTTTCCCTCTTTCTAGACCTTTCGGGTAAACCAAGTAATGAAAAAAAGGCCTTACTGAAATGATGACATTACCAGATGTGCCATCAGGGACATGCTTCCATTGCAGACACTGACAACTTGATACATCGTTTCCGTGGCAACCTGATAGTTGGTGGTGGTTCAGGTTTTGAGGAGGAGAACTGGACACAATTGAAGATTGGGAACCATGTTTTGATCGTGAGTATAGCTTCAGTGAGCCTGTCTGATTCATGATGTGCTTTCTGATGGATGACTTTGAACAGCACTTGGTTTCAGGGAAGGGAGTCAGTGTTGTCAGTTAGATGTCCTGTGATACAGTCAGTGTCAGAAGGTGTCCTGTGATTCAGTCAGTGTCAGAAGGTGTCCTTTGATTCAGTCAGTGTTAGAAGGTGTCCTGTGACGGTCAGAAGGTGTCCTGTGATTCAGTCAGTGTCAGGTTGTGTCCTGTGATTCAGTGAGTGTCCTGTGATTCAGTCAGTGTTAGAAGGTGTCCTATGACGGTCAGTGTCAGAAGGTGTCCTGTTATTCAGTCAGTGTCAGGTTGTGTTCTGTGATTCAGTCAGTGTCCTGTGATTCAGTCAGTGTCCTGTGATTCAGTGAGTGTCAGAAGGTGTCTTGTGATTCAATCCATGTCAGAAGGTGTCCTGTAATGGTCAGTGCCAGAAGGTGTCCTGTGATTCAGTGTCTGAAGGTGTCCTGTGACTGTCAGTGTCAGGTTGTGTCCTGTGATTCAGCCAGTGTCAGGTTGTGTCCTTTGATTCAGTCAGTGTCAGGTGTCTTGTGATTCAATCAGTGTCTGAAGGTGTCCTGTGATTCAATCAGTGTCTGAAGGTGTCCTGTGATTCAATCAGTGTCTGAAGGTGTCCTGTGATTCAGTGAGTGTCAGGTGTCCTGTGATTCAGTGAGTGTAAGGTGTCATGTGATTCAGTCAGTGTAAGGTGTCATGTGATTCAGTCAGTGTCAGAAGGTGACCTGTGATTCAGTGAGTGTCAGAAGGTGTCCTGTGACGATCAGTGTCTGAAGGTGTCTTGTGATTCAGTCAGTGACAGGTGTCTTGTGAATCCGTCAGTGTAAGGTGTCCTGTGATTCAGTCAGCGTCTGAAGGTGTCTTGTGATTCAGTAAATGTCAGAAGGTGTCATGGGATTCAGTCAGTGGCAGAAGGTGTCTTGTGAATCAGTCGGTGTCCTGGGATTCAGTCATTGGCAGAAGGTGTCTTGTGAATCAGTCAGTGTCAGAAGGTGTCCTGTGACGGTCAGTGTCAGGTTGTGTCCTGTGATTCAGTCAGTGTCAGGAGGTGTCCTGCAATTCAGTCAGTGTCAGAAGGTTTCCTGTGATTCAGTCAGGTGATGGTCTGTGTTTCAGAGTCAGGGTCAGTGTAGCCGGTGCCAGATGATATGCATGGACCAAGAAACAGGGGAGAGAAGCAAGGAACCACTCCGCACTCTCTCTATGTGGAGGGGCAAAAAGGTATGTATAATTGTCCTGATGTCCTGCAGAATTAATGAAGAGTGTTCAATGAACATGAGCAATAAATCATGCTGTAGGGATTTGACATCATCTAGGGGACCGATCCACAAAGAGTTCGTAGCTCTACGTCATCCGTAAGCTTGACATACTATACACTTACGATAACTTGTAACATAAACGCTCCGTGGATTGTGATCAAGATAATGTTTTAGCCAGGTGTCGTAAGTTAATGTTAATGTGTGGCACTTACGACTATCTTAGCGCTAAGAGAGCTTAAAAAATCTAGGCCCTGATCTCTAAATATAGAATTCCACATAGATATAGTATGCATAGTGTCTTGGGTTATCTTTATGTACAGTACATGATCAACGGTATGGGAGTAGAGAAAAGCAGAGACTTAATGCAAGTTCAGTAGCTGTCTTCTGACTGATGGTAACTTTCAGAGCTGGAGTCTCCTATTCTTTCATCGAGTGTATGTTTTTTCCAGGTTCCATTTGGTGTCTACATGCGTCAGTTGTCTCCCAGTACCGATTCCAGCAGTATAACAATTCTGCGGGTTGGGGATCAAGTTGTCCCTGAGACTGAGAGCAAGGAGACCTAGAGTGGGCCATGGTCTGGGAGGGGATGAGTCAAGCTGGGCCATATTGTTTGGGCATGAAAGTCAAGGACGGCTTCAGTGTTTGAATGTGAGAGTCAAGATCAGACACAGGGCTGGGGTATGAAGGTCTAGGTGGGCTACTTATCAGGTAGTGCAAGTAAAGGTTGGCCTAAGTGTTGTGTTAGGTGAGTGAAATGTGTTACAATGTGTGGGATGGGTGAGCTAAGGTGGGCCACATTGTGGGAACGAACAGGAAGTCATTATGAGGTCATATAAGTTTGTGCTCAGAATCCCAAAACTATGATATAGCTGGTCTCTATTCTAAGCCAGTGTTATAAGTATATAAGTATTGGACAATGGATATTGAGCACAGGACAATGGATTCTTATTATAGGGCAATGAATTTTAAGTATAGGACAGTCAAAGAAGAAGTAGATATGGGGTGTTTGTCCTTAAATGTTCATGGTATTTGGAGTTTGCCTGGAGCCAGTGTTGCAAGTCCAAGGATGTATCACTGTAGAACTGATGCTGCTGGTCTACTACAAACATGTTATTCAGGATCTTGAGATTAATGTTTTGTTTGGTTATATTTTGTTGACAGAAACATCCCATCCTTCTGCCATGGATTGGTTTCTGAGAGTCTTATATTGTGATGTTTTGAAAATTGTATCTAATTTCTGAATACACTATCTTTGTAACAATACATTGATTGATTGGCTAACTAAATTACTGATCAAACCTACTTGGGTGACCAATGAGACTATACACCAATACCTGATATTTTTCAGTGATATTAAACAAAAGACACATCATTTGGATATTGATGGATACATTCCTCAAACAAGGTAATGGCCTGAGAGATCTCTCATTGTTTTCGCTGAAGTGTAATGAGACAGACATCATTACAAATTTGTACATAAATTCACTATAAGTATCAGCAGATCGCCAGCTTTTTATTTAGTTTCAAAATGCATAAAAGCATGATAATAAACTAATTAGGATTATAAGACCAAATATAAAGAAGCCTCACCCAGTTTTTATGTAGCAGCCTGCTGATTTGTTTTAATTCCAATACATATTTAACTCACGAAAAGTACACCTATAATCTCATTAATTCTAACAGAACCCTCTCTGCTTGATTACATTACGCATAATGCCCTGTGAAGAGGGTGGGTGATTTCTGTAACTTCCGTGGCGATCTGAACACAAGTCATTGTGTTATGTGATGGGGACAATGCTCGCAGAAATCATCAAATGAAATATAAACATGAAAATCGCTATTTTATAAATGGATCCGCCACTTAAGTGTCACATAGAGCCCAACAGATATCTTCACAATGGGATTTTGCTTATTTGTTACAATGTTACCAGAGCTCCAGATAAGATTTAGCTCATGTGGGTACTGTACCCACTGTAATTGTTTGGAGTGGGTATTATGAATGTTGAGTGGGTATTTCATTTTCCGTTACCCACTGCTTTCAAATATGTGCGTATTTCAGTCATATTACTCACCTAAGTATTATGTCATTGAGTAAGGTTACTAAGCAGGTATGTTCTGCCTTATCTAATCAAAACCAAGTTAAATATAATGGAAATGATTTCTTAAAAAAGCACTCATCCTATACTGACAGTACAACACTTGTCCTATACTAACAGTACAACTTGATAGCAATCAATGTCTTTTTCATTACGCAAGCGATTTTTATAAATATATTCCGTACGCATTTGTTTTAAACTTTTTGCGTATCCAACATTTTAAATGCGTAATTAGTACGCAAAAATTATTTTTCAATGCGTAATTGGAAATTTTCTATATATTTTACCCGGATACTCAGCTTATCTGGGCCTCTGATGTTACAATTTAAATTGTATGATGTTGATGTTTGACTGTTGACGATGTTGATTGTAGATGAACCATTTCCACAAAGCAGACATTGTGTCAGTACAGGTCAAGTGTGGACAGGTTGATAATTGTTTTAAAAAAAATGTTTACAAGACCAACATGCCTGTATACAATGTATAGAATTCCATAGTGGACATGACGGACATGAAGCATAATCATATAAGTCCATCTGCCGACATTGTGATAAGATTGCCAAATGGTTTGTCATCTGCGATATGTAGATAATGTTATATTAAGGCCATTCAAATGTTGTAAACCAATATGCTGCCTTTTAAGCATTGACCTGACTTTGATAAAACAATTTCAAAGTGCAGTCATGAAGCCAAAGTGCCATTCTTAAATGTCTTTCAAGAGTATTTTACAATTTTAATAGCATTTGTGAATGTGCGTGAGAACAATCAACCCAATTGTGTTTGTTAACTGATGCTTATTCATCGGTTTGCATATTGTTCTACATCTTATCATGCCATGTGTGACCTGAGAGAAACATATATGTCATAAAACCATGCATTCACTAGCCAAAATCATACCCAAACAGACCCGTGAAGATCCGGGGTAGGATAGGTCTTCAGCAACCCATTCTTGTCATAAAAGGCGACTATGCTTGTCGTAAAAGGCTGACTAACGGGATCGGGTGGTCAGGCTCGCTGACTTGGTTGACACATGTCATCGGTTCCCAATTGCGCAGATCGATGCTCATGCTGTTGATCACTGGATTGTCTGGTCCAGACTCGATTATTTACAGACCGCCGCCATATAGCTGGAATATTGCTGAGTGCGGCGTAAAACTAAACTCACTCATTGACTCACTCATACCCAAACATCCATAACATATTGTTGGCAGTGTATGAAATAAAGCTCGTCCGACCACCCCAGACGGGCTAGATTTCTGATGGACGGTCTTAATTTACCGTTAGCCAGCCCGATGGTCTGGTAAAAGTTTTAGATATTCTATTCATCTGAGTCGGCATTAATGGGTACAACAGGGACTGGTCAGCTCAGAGTCAGTATAATGTGTCTGAGTGGGGTATTTATTCACTGCGGCATGGTATCTCAGTGGGCTAGCACTATAAAACCAGCTTAAGTCTGGGCTAGTACAAGCAGCTGCACATACACATACACACACATGCACGTCGTCATATGAGCGAAATATTCTCAAGCACGACGTTAAACCCAATTTCACCTCCATTCATCTGAGTAAATTCACCATATCTTGCAGGGTGTCTGGTCAGGTTAAATCCATTGTGGGCTGGTAACATTTTGAAGTTACCAGCCCTAAAGTCTGGCTGGGTGTTGGGCTTATTTTATACACTGTTGTTGGTCATAAACTGGACTTCAAGAATTGTTTTAAGTCTGCAAAATTGATGCTTTTGACAAATATGAAACAACAGTGGCCTTATTGCAGGGACTAATTCTAATTTTATATGAACAGTTTTCAAATTGTAATTATTAAAATAGTTCTTATTATACCCAACTAATATCACCTTAATCTTCTCCAAACAGACTGTATATAAATTCTGTGCCAAGAGCTTTCAATATTTAGAAATGCCATTATCTGCAGTGAGAGTGTTTCCATGGTAATATATAGGAAATAGTCTTTAGCCCAATATTCATTGTTCTGGAGATAGATACCTTTGTTATGGAGATAGATACCTTGGATGTCTAGGAATACATCCAATAGAATAAATACTACTTGCACCCAGTTCTTTCATATTACTCTAGTTAAGTAGAAAATATATAGCGTGCTGCACAGAGTGCTGGAGTTGTCTCCCTTTAGGTATGTTTGCCACTATGATTGTAGGTTTACATCCTCAATTGCTCTCAATTTGTAGCAACTGTTAAACCCCATATCCTCCTTGTGGCATTCACCAAGTAGCTAAATGGTGATCTACATGTCTCCAATATATTGGAATACTATTCCAAATGAATATGAACTGTAACTGAAATTAATAGATAACCTGTTTCTTGATATAAGTGTATAATTCTGAGGACATGTTTGTGATATAGGGTGTAAGAATTTATTCCATTGGTCAAGAAATCCAGGTGCATACTGAAGTGAATATGATCTTGTTATATTCTCAGTGGATGCCTTTTTGAATAAAAAGGCTAAATCTGTGGTATTGTTGACAGAGCATTTGCCTGGAAACTCGATCCCAGGGTCATGTCATACGAAAAGACAATAACAGATGGTATCTGATCTCTTTGTCAATTAATCCTTTTTCTTGCAATTTGTATTTAATTTACCCAGAATATTTATCAATATTATTTAAAAAGAAATGTTAGAATAAAAGATTGTTTACAAATGTTTGACATTACTGATTCTATTTTGTAATTTTATCTTGATTTCATTTAAAATCCCTTTCAGGAGTCAAAGGTGCTCAAATTTCCATGTCAGAAACCTATGATTGTTGGTTCGAATCCCAATTTGTTGTGATCATGTTTCATGCTTGTCAGAAAAATACCTGTACTAAGGTGGTATCTGGGACCTGGATCATGTCACACAGGCAATAACTGAAATCTGTTCAAAGCAGTGTGGACTCACCATGTGAGGGACGGTGGGGTAGCCCAGTGGTTAAAGTGTTCGCCCGTCATGCCAAAGGCCAAGGTTTGATTCCCCACATGGGTACAATGTGTGAAGCCCATTTCTGATGTCCCCAGCCGTGATATTGCTGTAATATTGCTAAATGGCGTAAAACCCAACTCACTCACTCACTCACTCACTCAGTCCTACATCACAAATGCAATCTGACATAGCACAGCACCATGTAATACTCAGGAATCAACTCCATCAGTAAACGATGATGGCCAGAATCCTAATTTCATCACCTGATGATACATATGAGCCACTGGCAATCATTTCAGCTCCCACAGATAACAAACACACGACATATTTCTATATAAGTTTATCAACAAGTGGAAGGGGCATGAAGAGTTGCCTCCCCTGACAGGGCGACCAAAGTGACAGCTATACAAGATAGAAGCTACTATACTACATCATCATACAAAACTCTCCGTCATCTAGTGCAACAGTGACAGGCAACTTGTAAAATAGATATCTGATTAACAGAAGCAGCAACTGTTTCCGGCCCACGCAGGGCCAGACCAAACATATAAAACAACACCTTCCTCACAAAATAAGACTCTCATGGTAAAACTTCAAACCTTTGAGCATTTGTAATTTTTCTCTTAATTTTCGGCATTAACGCAAACCTGTTTTATAATGGTAAAATTTAACACACATGTCCTAGGGATCTAAAACAAGGCTTAAAACAGATTCTGTACTGTTTATTACAAAATCTAATAATACTAAACTAATAGGAAATCTTACTAAACAAAGCACCAAAGATGTAAATATTATGAAACAATTAATGGTTTTGCTAAATATGTACTGAAGTGGGCATTATTCCACGGCGTATATAAAGAACTTATATTGTGCTGGTAGATACTGACAATATCAACCATCTAGGCTACACTGATTACGAGTGTCATCATAAACATGCTTGAATATAGCCCACTACTGTTCCTGAGAGCTAAAAACATGGAGAGGATATGTCCAAATCAAAAACATTTGACACATTGACAAAATAGTCAAAATAATTATCATTATTCTGTTTAAAGTATTATATGTATCTCACACTGTTTTGTGTTAAAAAATCCCAAAAAACTTAACCTGTGACTTTGTTCTTGTGAAGATAAAAATATCAATTTGGTACAATTTTCTTGTGTGTGCCAAAAAAGTGTACTGTTTTCCATACTTTATGAAAACTAATTCTTATACTTTTTCATACTTGGAGCAAATAGACAGCAGTAAGCTTGCAATAAGGTATATTACAACTGAAATCTATGATGAATTGGTTTATAAATACAAGCTAGCTACATGCAGATCATCAGCGGGGAGGGACTATGAAGCACTGGAAGAGAGTGGGGAAAGAATGAGCTACTATGATGCCTTCCAGAGTTTTATTCTATATTACATCTATGACAACTTTACTTCAAATAACTTTATATATAGCAAAAATGATGTTACATCCAGAAATTGTAAACATAGCTCTATCATTAACAAATACATTTTAATTCTGTTTCAAACCCTCGTTTTTCCTTGGACAAAATTCATTTTCTTATCACAAAGTTGGTGTGAATCCAACATTTGAACAAATTAACAATAAAACGTTCAAATTAAGAAATTTCCACAATGAATATCAAGTAGTTATGTAGAGTGATGAGTTTGATGTTAAACATAAGAAAACTGAGAATTTTCCCCAAAAGTCAAATGCCATGTAGACAAACCATAACCTACAGCTGATGGAGGCTAAATTGTCACAATTCTTGTAATGTCACCAACCATAAGGACACAGGTTGAGGTGGAGCTACTGTCTGAGGAAATCCACCATTATCAAACCTATTGGCTTGTCTCAATACAGCTTACTGCCTCCCTATTGGCTTGTCTCAATACAGATTACTGCCTCCCTATTGGCTTGTCTCAATACACCTTAATGCCCCCCTATTGGCTTGTCTCAATACAGCTTACTCATTGCTTAAAGGGGCTGCATCATGGATTTCAGTTTCCAAAGACAGCCTAATTCCTCTGTACAAAGTTGTCTTAATGCTACCACAAAACCTTCCCCCAAAGAAAACCTTTGTAACGACTTTGAACCTTATTTAGAAATATGTGACAAGACTTACGTTAGACTTATCGATGAAGATATGAAGTCCTGTAATAAAAACCAAAATGACAATAATTTCATATTCATTTCAAGTTTTCAACGTTTGATCTTTGTTCATTTAAGACATAACACATTGCGTATCTTGAGTTCAATTTACAACATTGATAGGAGCCTTACCTTTCTATACAGTTTGCATAGGGTTATCTGTGAGCATTCAACACTCTACTGTATATGTATAATAATATAGACAACACTTTTAACAAATCGGGAAAACGTAAAATTCCCCCAGCTTGGAGAGAATTTGTCAACTATGTAAGACTATCACAAAGGTTATGAAGTGCAAGTTACACAAAAACAACTTGTCTTGAATTAAACAATTGCCACATCGGCTTACAATGAATAATATCAAACTCAGTTGTCAACGATTATACAGGCAGGTATAACAACATTCTCCAAGAAAATTACTCATTCTTCAATGGCCATTTAGAAATAGTCTTTTAATTAAATTAATGAAATCACAGATTACTATTTAATGTCTTTACATTTCAGTAGAAGCATGTCTAGGATCAGAATGCTTCATGACATAACCAGACACTGTAACCATGGTAACAGATAAATATTATGCAGAAGCAATATTCCAACCCGTCATACACTATATATAAACTTACAACAGAACCAAAGCTTCGAGAAATTATCATACAAACTTGTACATATTACATTCATGCAGTATATACTGCAGGATGAGAAACAACGTAACCCATCTTCGTTATCTACAGAATCAATCTACATGTCATTGTTAGCAGAAGTCCTGATACATATAACAGACAAAATGTGAAATTGGGGTTTTCTTGTGTGTACGTCTTGACAGTTGCGAATATGTAAGTTTTATTGATATTTATACTGAAGGATGAGAAACAACTAACCCATCTTTGCTAAATCTACAGAATCAATCTACATGTCATTTGTTTTGCAGAAGTCCAGATACATATAACAGAGAATAAGTGAATTTTTCGGGTTTTCTCGTGTATGTCTTGACAGTTGCGAATATGTAAGTTTTATTGACATGACGGTGAACAACCATCAAGGCATCACTATCAAGCTGTACTAGGTATATCAGGGACTGCACTAAGAGGAAGCAAAGGTTTTGCAAAATAACTACCAGTGGGAAACTTCATGGACAAACTTGCATGATGAATATAACACACATATAAACAAAAGAAATTATCTTGTATATCGTTGGCAAACTTCACCCTCGTCATTCAAGGGACATGAAATTCTCCATGCAAAGTAGACTTCAAAATTATGCACAACAATTTTCAAATGGTCAAAAAATTCTACTCTTCAAAATCTATTAAAATAGCCATTCCAATACTTTATTGACTATGCCCAACTTTACAATTCTCAGGAGATTTGTATGATGCAAACATACAAATTCTCAATATATTGTGCAACCATGTCAATGTATTCATATCAATACGACCAATGACAAAGCATCCTCATCTGGTTGCCATGATTACCATAATATCCATGGTTACCACATGGCGCCAATGGGTTTTAGTTGTAGCAATGGTCTGAGTGAGTGAGTTGGGTTTTACGCCGTTTTTAGCAATATTCCAGCAATATCACGGCAGGGAACACCAGAAATAGGCTTCACACATTGTGAGCAATGGTCTGAAGCATGTCTGGCATGTGGCAACAGAAAAGACAAATTAGTTTTGCCATCAACTTTAATAATTTCAGAATAATAAAACATTTGGATAAAATATGAATATATGTTTAGAAGAAGCAGAACCAACAGGAATCTGCTTGTATTTTCTAACAGGAATGGCGACGGTGAGTATTCCTGTTTTTCGCATCATCGGCGTACCCATCATCCTAGACAAAGCTGAAGCAAACCGATGGCGTGTGCAGTGAGAACAAGATGCAGGGTCAAAGAATAATCTGTTGTGCTGGTCGTTTTACTTTAATGAGTTTTAGACACATGTTAGAATTCTCCATAATTCCTTGAATTCAAATTTGGTGAACATTTTTTGTAAATAAGTAGATGAGCCTTTGAACACAGAGGACCAAACGTCACAAATTTACAAACCAAGTGACACATGCACAGACAGTATTATGAACTTTAACTTTCTGAAACACCCATTCGATGTTGTGTTGAAATTTCATTGGTGCCTGCTTCAAGCAACCTTGTCTAAGAGTCTGGTATGAGCGATTGGCTAAGTTAACAAACTATTGTGTTAAGACTAAAATATTAAAACAATAACAGCTCCCTTGACCACGTTTGCTCATGTGCGATTCCCCAGTGCTGAGAGGCGTACATGAGGACAGGTCTGAGCCAAGGGTAACATCTATCACCCCCCAGTCTCTAAACAACACGAAGGAAGTGTACTGCTGGCCACACTAGTTAATACGCTGGACGTAGTTGGAAGGCAACATTCCCCGCTTGCTTGTCCGTTCTACTGTGCCATACATCCAGCCGTCGTCCACAGGTTCACAGTTGATGATTACGTCATTCTCCATAAAGCTCACTTCGTCTGTATCGGCTGCTGCGTAGTCGTACAAAGCTTGAGAAACAATCTGCAGAAAGGGAAGTAGTTTTACATGAAGGTAAGAATCAGCATCTCTTAAGCAGTAATCATTCTCAGTTTTTATAGACTAAATATAACTAAAATACTAAATACAACTATCTTTACACAGAATCTTTACATATGCATTCTTGCCGTAAGGCTGTAAAATAGATCAAAGCTGGACTATTAAAATAAAGATTGCTCAAGAATACATCTACAGTTTATGTTGTGGGTTTATAAAGAGGTGAATACGGTTTGAAGTGCTCTCTGTGCACTGAGCTAACAAATATAATTCTACAACAAATTTATCTAGCCACCATGTTTATCATTTAACACACTGGAAACAAACAGATATTCAGATGCAAAACATTTGTTTGCCGCCTTCTGCAGGTGTTACTCAGACAACTTGTTATGTTTCTGCATCACACACACCTAGCGTCAATGCTAACATTTGTTGAAATACACATCATGTTACACCAGTTCACTGTAAGGAGCTTGAAATACATACATTACAAAGATCAGCGTGTTACGACGACACTGGGAATAAATGTTTATTGGTTGTACAAATTTGTACATGGACACTGACCAAACTGTCCTTGACCAATAAAACAATTGTTATGGACAGACAAATTCCTTATTGCAATAGATGTGATGTTTCGGTCTAAATACAAACACTGTTATCATGCACGTGATGTACAACATTATGCATTAGAGAATATATACATGAAGGATATTTGAGTTCATAAATTGATGTATAGTGTGTTGACATTACTGATTCTTGAAGGGTTATTCTTGATTGGCCTTGATTATAGTCTGTTTGCAGTGAAAACGTACCGATGAATCTCACTTTAAACAAGAAAGTAAATCTTATAAAGTGAAATTAAGATTGCGAATCCTCATAATTTTACCTTGCCAATTGAGCATTTAAATATCAGAATTTTATTCATCTTAGGATAAAGGTTGTTTAACAAACGATCTTAGTTTCAAATCGCTATTATTGGTTTGTATTACAAGGGTGTGTGCACATTAAATGAAACACCGAGAACAAGTAGGGTTGGTCTAAGTTAACGCTCATCACGTACCACACATGCATTTGTTTCAGTGTTCCAACTACTGCACTTACCCCTTGTAATACAAACCAATAATAGTGATTTGAATCTAGGATCGTTTGTTAAACAACTTTTATCCTAAGTTGAATAAAGTTCTGAGATTCAAATGTTCAATTGGCAAGGTAAAATTATGAAGATTCGCAATCTTAATTTCACTTTATTTGATTTACTTTCTTGTTTAAAGTGAAATTCATCGGTACGTTTTCACTGCAAACAGACTATAACATTTGTTGAAATACACATGATGTTACACCATTTCACTGTAAATTACAAAGATCAGCGTGTTACGACGACACTGGGAATAAATGTTTATTGGTTGTACAAATTTGTACATGGACACTGACCAAACTGTCCTTGACCAATAAAACAATTGTTATGGACAGACAAATTCCTTATTGCAATAGATATGATGTTTCGGTCTCAATGCAAACACCGTTATCATGCAAGTGATGTTCAACATTATGCATTAGAGAATATATAAATGAAGGATATTTGAGTTTATAAATTGATGTATAGTGTGTTGACATTACTGATTCTTGAAGGGTTATTCTTGATTGGCCTTGATTAGATGATGGTAAGCAGTAGGAATGTGAGTGAGTGAGTTTAGTTTTATGCCGCATTCAGCAATATTCCAGCTATATGGCGGCAGTTTGTAAATAATTGAGTCTGGACCAGACAATCCAGTGTTAAACAGCATGAGCATCGATCTACACAATTGGGATACGATGACATGTGTCAACCAAGTCAGTGAGCCTGACCACCCGATCCCGTTAGTTGCTGATTATGACAAGTATGGGTTACTGAAGACCAATTCTAACCCGGATCTTCACGAGTCGGTGGCCATGATACATTGATAGACAAACATAAATCAGAAAACAAATTCATTATGCTGTGGTCTGCTTCTGTCGGAACAAGTAGTTCTGTTTAGGACAGATGAGGACTTCTGTTGACAGTATTTACTGCAATGAAGGTAATGGAGGTTGAAGTTTCATGAGGATTGTACGATCCCGTTAGTCACCTCGTACGACAAGCATGGGTTACTGAAGATCAATATTCTAACCCGGACCTTCACGAGTGCTGTAGGGATGTAATGACCTTGATATCTGTTGTACATACCATAAGATAAATGTGTAACAGTAACAGAGGATTTACATACAGATATGCAAACAAGAAACTGGGGACACAAGTTTTGTTTGGCTTTGTTGTGTTGCCCTTCTACAATCATGAGCTCTGTTATAAACTTACCCCTTTGTTCTGCTTTGGAGGTTGGGGAGCTGAAACAAACAAAAAGGAACTTAGCAAAATTGTACAAATCTTGAAGTAAGCAGATTTTGTGACTCACTTTGAAACATGATTTGCCTGGACTGACTGACTGACTGAGTTTGGTTTTACGCCGCTTTTAGCAATATTCCAGCAACATCACGGCGGGGGACACCAGAAATGGGCTTCACACATTGTGCCCATGTGGGGATTCGAACCCGGGTCTTCGGCGTGACAAACCAACGCTTTAACCATTAGGCTACCCCACCGCCCCGATTTGCCTGGATATCACAGAGTGTGTGAGTGAGCTGGGTTTAAGTCACTTCTAGCAATATTCCAGCAATATTTCAGCAAGATTTAACAGAAGCAGACTCATTCCTTGTGTCCATGTGGGATTGAAACCCAGCCTTTGACACAACACACAAACACTTTAATCACTCCACTACACCTCTGGGCTTGTTGACAAATGTACAACGAGCAGATAAAAGCAAAATCAACCTTCATCGATATAACGACAATTTGCATGTTTTATAACAAAATGCCCAATAAAATTACCATTCTGTCTTTTGAATCAGGCTGTTCATAACACATTTGCTACAATTTCAACATTCAACAAATTGGATACATATGTACTGGGAGACACACTTTCAACATCACCTGTAGTGAAGCTGAAAAAAACATAGATCGGAGTCCCTGCAGTTCAAGTATCATCACTGCAGCACTTACCTGCTCTCTACACACACATAACATCATTCCCAAGTTAGTAGAACGCTGACTCTCAAATGTCAATGATTCATCTAATTCTACTCACTCACTCATGCAAAAATGATGTTAATCAAAATAACAATTTTAAAAAGAGCATACTGAATGAATCTGTGATGTCCGATATTTCGGAGATGTCGTTGACCTGTGTATGATTGAAGCGCACGAGCTTCAACTGACAATCGGAACTACTGCCGCAGAAATTAAAACTTGACAGTCCCGCTGCAGATAACTATGTACACCGGAAGCTGCACATTAGATGTAGTAGACCCACCTCTACTTACACTGAAGACTCCATACCATTCAGGTTGTGGTATAATAAACTAGCTGATCTACCCTGAAACCAGAATACCACACTTCAGAATCAGAACCATCTGTATCTAGGCTTCCCTTGGCCTTATACAGAAACGTTCCTTGTCCACGCCACACCACGCCACGCCATGACTTCCATAAGTTACCTGTCATTGTGAGTGTATCACTTGAGGAACACCTGCTCAATTATTAGCGTTTGTAAGCAACCAGCAGGATACAACAGTGCATTGAACACAGAGGGGAAGGTGACGTACAAAGCAACACACAACACGAACACCACCAGCACCGCGGGGTAGCTGCCTCACCTGTTGTAGAGGTACGTCATATACATCAGGGCCTAGATTTTCGAAGCTCTCTTTACGCTAAGATAGTCGTAAGTTAATGTTAATGTATGGCACTTACGACCATCTTAGCTCTAAGAGGGCTTCGAAAATCTAAGCCCAGGAGTCATACGCATCTGGAATCTCAACAATGTCCTTTTAAGTCAAATTCCAGTGTTATTCTGATGTCTCCCCAGCCACACATCTTCTCCTGAGGAATGTACAAACCTGTCTCCCTACCTGTTTATGTCTCCATATAAAGTAAAGTACATTCATAATGAACGGACAGACATAACAAACAGTTGTCATTCTTGTCACGGCAACTTGCTGTACATTTTAGAGGAAATGTGTATGGCAAACTATAGTTATCCAAAATACAAACTAAAATAGGTAGTCCCTTTGAATGAACTATACTTCACAGCATTGTTTAACAAGTGTAAACACGTTATTGCTGGAAGCAGTCATAAAGTCCCTTCCAGTTTGAGTTGCCATGCATACTGAACACCTACCTGTGAAACGGGGTTTGTTTGACAGTACATACTACATTCTTATTCAGTAATGGCAAGTTTCATTAAAGAATTGTCTGCCTTAATTGCTTCCATTGTTTAAAACTGTGAAAGCACTGCATAGCCTGAAGCACCCATACAATCACTGGCAGTCCACCCTTTCCATACTGGTTTGTTCAGACTTACCACCTATTATTATAGGAAATTTATATGGCGCACATATCCACATAACTAGGACATGCTCAAGGCACTGGAGTGTTCCCTTGATCAATGGATGTCTTTTTTTCTGGCATTCTTTTAACCAACTCAACTCCCTGGGAGTATTCAACTGCCTGTTAGGCACAGCGAGTTATCACACAGCCTCATCCTCACAAGGTACCCATTTGCACTTACCTTCACATAGAAGGGCTCCTTTATTCCTACTACAGTATTTACCCAAAATAAAAGTGTTGGTTTTTACAGATTCTCTTTACCGAGTACCAAACTAAGTGCAGAAGCTCCACAATAATTTACCCGAAGCTCACACCATTTGTGCACAGACAGAAGCAGACAAGGTGTGGTGAAGACATCTTACCTTCCTTATCCACCTGGTACGTTGTTCTAAAGCCGGCGCCAACAGCACTAGGTTCCTCCACTACACCAAACATCAACATCATAGCATGCAGTGATTCAGGCACAGCAGGGATACACAGTTGTGCAATACTGTCTGTCTTGTAACATTTCGTTGTGTTTACACAGCATTATAAGGTATTTATATCACCTACGATGTAATTTGGTGGATTTCTTCATATCTAAACACTAATTCATGCTTTTTTATCCTTTTCCACATACGATCTTAAAAATTATGAACAACATTGCTACTGTCTCTGAATTCCGATTCAACCATTGTGAAGTCCTTTGCCAAAACTTAAGTTTAAACATTTACATGTAAATTAAAAATAAAACATCAAGTGTTTCTTTTCATTAAAGCCTCATCGGATATATCTTAGTTTTTAGTTGTGTGAAGAAGCAGTTTATTATAAATATATATACTACACAAAAGAAATGAAAGAATACCAAATTCTTTCTCATTATCATAGTTAATACCTTATAGCATGACAGACTATAGTAATAAGAAAGAAACAGGTTCTCATAACTTATTTTGATTAGTATATGTTGTCCTACTTAGGTTACAAACTACATATGTGCTACACTTAGTTACTACTTAAAGATTACTTGAAACTACAAAAAAGCTACAGATATAAGATAGTTATAACCAGGTACTTAGTTCTAGACATAGTTTATTAATAACTTATACGAGGAAAACTATATCAAAACATTAAATGAATAAGCTTGGAAAGTGTGATACACTTAGTATACTTTCAGTTGCAGGAAGCAATGGCTTAAATGCCTCCTATTAGTGAATGTTATGCCACCGTCAGCAATACTACAACTAAGTCACAGCAGCTGTTAGATGACAGTCTTGCTAGGTACACCAGTGGTTGCTAGGTTAAACATTGCAACTGAAGTACGATGACATAAACAGCCAAGACATTCATCACAATCAGAAGATCTTCACTTCAGTCAATTCTGACAAATATGTCTACATTAACCCTACACTGGACTCTAGCAAGAGTTTCTCAGTCCATGTTAACCCTTTACTGCTAGCTAGCCACCGATTCTGACTCTACATTAACCCTTTACTGCTTACTAGCTACAGATTGCATAAAGATTATACTGCTAGCTAGCCACTGATTCTGACCCTACATTAGCCCTATACTGCTAGCTAGCCACAGATTTAGACTCTACATTAACCCTATACTGCTAGCTAGCAACTGATTCTGATTCTACATTAACCCTATACTGCTAGCTAGCCACAGATTTGCACCCTACATTAACCCTATACTGCTAGCCATCCACTGATTCTGACCCTACATTAACCCTATACTGCTAGCTAGCCACAGATTTGGACCCTACATTAACCCTATACTGCTAGCCATCCACTGATTCTGACGCTACATTAACCCTATACTGCTAGCTAGCCACAGATTTGGACCCTACATTAACCCTATACTGCTAGCTAGCCACAGATTTGCACCCTACATTAACCCTATACTGCTTGCTAGCCACAGATTTGGACCCTACATTAACCCTATACTGCTAGCCATCCACTGATTCTGACCCTACATTAACCCTATACTGCTAGCTAGCCACAGATTTGCACCCTACATTAACCCTATACTGCTAGCTAGCCACAGATTTGGACCCTACATTAACCCTATACTGCTAGCTAGCCACAGATTTGGACCCTACATTAACCCTATACTGCTAGCTAGCCACAGATTTGGACCCTACATTAACCCTATACTGCTAGCTAGCCACATTAACCCTATATTCTGGACCCTACATTAACCCTATATTGCTAGCTAGCCACAGATTTGCACCCTACATTAACCCTATACTGCTAGCTAGCCACAGATTTGGACCCTACATTAACCCTATTGTACCTACCAGGAGGTTGTGACACATCCACAGATGGACTGAAGCCTCTACTGACATTGTCGTCTTCAACAAGATCTGAATATAACAGTTATAGCATAGATAATCTCCTGTACTCTAACGAATATAAACAACTACATACAAACTGTCAAAACAAACAGATGAAACACAATTTGGAAGATAATGTGTACTTTTCAAATAAGCGCCCAATGTGAGGTTGAACTGAACCTTGTTGAAAAGAAACTTAACACAGTGATACAAGTGGAATATGCTGGTATTACACACTGCAGTGGATACAGTTTATATCTCTTAAGCATGTGTTACACTGTTATTTATGGAAGCTGGTGATGCCTGGGACGTACCTGGCGTAGCTACCGAGTATGATGTATGGAATGTCCCACCACTGACGTCTTCCTCTGTTGTACCACACCCAGTAGGAAGAAAACAGAGCACATGCAATCCCTAACTTGGCCATGTATAACAACTACAGTAGATTTCCAGCTAAAGAGGAGCTAGGCTCAGACAAAAGCCAACAGAGTGAATGTTTCTTTGAGAGGCATTTTTGAAGTTGTAAAGATGAAGGAAAACCAAGTTCTCTGGATAGTCAACTTCTTTACTGCAATGAGTGCGATGTTTCACCGTTATCAAGCAAGTGATATCTTGATAACAGTGTTAGTACCTACACCAAAATGTCACTCTCATTACAATAAAGAAGTTAACTATCCATAGAACTTGGTTTTCCTTCCAAGTGAATGGTGTTTTACGCCACACTCACACAATCAACCATGTCACAAACTGAAACACCCAGTGCTCTATAATAATCAACTCTTGTAGCAACAGGATAAAGGACTGAGTGAGCGAGTTTAGTTTTATGCCATTTTTAGCAATATTCCAGCAGTATCACGATGGGAGGGGAGAGAGAGAGAAAACAAGTAATGGGATTCACACATTGTACCCATGTGAGGACTCGAACCCGGATCTTCGGCTTGACGAGCAGGCACTTAAACCACTTGTCTACTCCCCCCTCCCTCCATTCTACACACAGAACAATCAGTAAATTACTGGACCTCGCCAACCTAACACCTCTTTAACACAAGAAATACTACTGCAATTACCACAAGTACAATGGTTCTAGGTTTCTCTTAACATATCAAAAAGGTTTGTACATGATGTAATACGGACAATGTAATCTGATTAATGAACTTTTCTTTTCTTCTAGCTATCATGACTTGCATCTTCTTTTAAGATTTACCTAAAAAATGGTGCATTGGTTGCAAAAAGACAACTTGTAACTCTCTGAACAAAATTAATAAACAGAATAATGAGAGAATAAAATAAACATAAAAAGAGAATGTTATACAAAAACCCAATGCCTCTATTTCATTGCCATTTCCAAAGATGAACTGTGCATTTAACCACATGAAAACGGAGATAAGTAACGAAAGTTGAAAGGTAGAGCTGCTACTGAGATGTACTAACATACCGTATGATTGTGGCGTGTGGGAAATAGACTGGCTGCTGAATCGTGTGTCCTCCGGAGAACCTTGTCAACCATAGTGGGAAAATAAACAGCATGCATTCCTTCTACATCAATATCTTCATATATAGTTAGGGCATCACCCTTATTGAAGTATAACAATCCAAAGATTTTATTACCGTTACGAATATGCAAAAATATCAACAAAATAAACCAACATAATTTTCTTTCAGTATCTTGGATCATGTTAAAACTTGTTTGTGTTACATTCACAAGAGTGAGTGAGTGAGTTTAGTTTTACGCTGCTTTTAGCACTATTCCAGCAATATCATGACGAGGAACACCAGAAATGGGCTTCACACATTGGACCCATGTGGGGAATCGAACCCGGTCTTCGGCGTGATGATCATTCACAAGAAGAACTGCTTATCAGGAAGTTGAACTTAATTTTTAAACATTTCAACTGGACCTTTCGGCTAAAATGTTTCAAAACCAACCAATAAGAAATGGCCTGTTGATGCTTGTGGGAATAGCCAAGCCAGCCATTGGGTCACTGAATCAACCAGGTAGACTAAGGGCCCGGTTGCATACAAAGAGATTTTAGCACTACGTTGATCATAGCTGCCTATCTTCAACAAGGGCTTACGATTACGTAGATAGTTTTGTGCCACAGGCCCAGGGCAATAGAACAGCCTGTATGGTCTTATCATGTGGTCTCCCACCTAGGTAATGTCCATACTGTGCTGCCATTGTGACCAAATAATCCACATCCATCATAACACAGAAATAATTGTCTAATCAGTTACACATGTACCAATTTTAGTGAATTGTTTTTTAATTATTTCTTTTACACCCTTTTCACTTAGCAAATTACCGATAAGGTTGATATTTTTTGTAATAACATTATCATGTTTTCAAGAAAAACAGTACTGCAAATTCTTTGCAAAACAAAGGCATAACTGTGAGTAGAGCTGAAAAGAGCTCTGTAGGCTTCGGATGCCAACAGAAGAGTAGATTTCAGTAACAAGCAGAGAGATTCATACTTTTGGGAGACAGGAAGGGACCATAAATTATAAAAACATGCATATGTATATACATAATATGTGTCTTCGAGAAAAATGATTTTTTGGGGGGAAAGAGGGAGAGAAAACAGGATTTGAAAAAATACTTACAGGCGGTAGTAGAAATGGAAAAATGGGGGATCGGGGAATGGGGTAACGGGTCTGGCCCTGGATAGGGAAGGTTTCATAAGAACATATCTGTAAAGGGAGGTCTTTCAAGTCATCATTTAGTGCAGTGTGTGCAAGACTTTAATATGGGATCATGACACCTTGCAGAGTGTGCTAGCCTTTATATGGGATCATAACTTTATTCACTGTGCATGTCTTTAATATGGGATCATTCTCGCTGTATGCCAGCCTTAGATATGGGATTTATGCAGTTTGCCTACCCGTCGGAGAACTTGGAATACCTGTAGGATAGGTTGTCCTAAACCCTTCTCCAACAACCTCAGGGGGTCCTTCTACAGCAAGACAAACATGGCCTGAATGTTCACAGTCTTCCTTCATAGTCAGCACATGGCTTTTGGTTTCAACTTACATAACGTTTTAGCATACTACTCATATCATGATCTGTATCTAAGTATTAATCTTGATATGTTAATGATTGTATGAATTGTGATGAAGAAATTCAATTAAATATTATTCTCTCTTGTCAATAATGTCAATGTTTATTTTAAAGTTTGAAAAAATACTTTGACATTGAGAACATTGTTACTGTTTCTTCTTTTACAAATTCTAAAACTCTATGGTCCTTCAGTTTGTAAAATTACCACTAATTATACAACAAAGATTAATTATGAATATAATACAACCTTTAATATGTGTAACAATAAATGTGTTAACTGTGGCCACTTGCACTTACTTCAACGCAAAGCAAAACACTAGGAACTGGACCTACCCTGAGTTTGATCACTATAAGGTTGGGGGACAGGCTGTTCCTCCTTGACATCAGGTTTGTCTTCCACAACTACCCACATGATGTTAAGAGTAAGAAACACATGCAACTCATGCAGTTATGTGACATAATTATGAAAATAATCGGACAGAATGAGATGGGGGATCATACGACCCCGCCTCACCACCATGTGACGAGGAGTAAACTGATGACAGCTTAATGTCAGGAAACAAATTCATAAGGAAACAATAAAGTTGCCATCTTGTAAAAATTCAACAAAGCTGAAAAGGCTTCAGTTGGTTTAGTCATTACGTAGTGAGCAGCTCACAACAATGAGTGAGCGAGTGAGCGGTTTTTAGACACTTTTAGCAATACTCCAACAAAATCAAGATTGGAGGGGGGACACAAGATATGGCCTTCACACATTGTACCCATGTGGAGAATGAAACCTAGCCCTTCATTATTACTAGTGAATGCTTTAACTACTTGGCGAAGAGTTAGTGAGTATGGTTTTATTCCACTTTTAGCAATATTCCAGCAGTGGCCCCCAGAATTGTCCTTCACATATAGTGTGTACAAGACTTTAATATGGGATCATGACACCTTGCAGAGAGTGCTAGCCTTTATATGGGATCATAACTTTTTTCACTGTGCATGTCTTTAATATGGGATCATTCTCGCTGTATGCTAGTCTTAGATATGGGATTTATGCAGTTTGCCTACCCGTCGGAGAACTTGGAATACCTGTAGGATAGCTTGTCCTAAACCCTTCTCCAACAACCTCAGGGGGTCCTTCTACAGCAAGACAAACATGGCCTGAATGTTCACAGTCTTCCTTCATAGTCAGCACATGGCTTTTGGTTTCAACTTACATAACTTTTTAGCATATTACTCATATCACGATCTGTATCTACCAAGTATTAATCTTGATATGTTAATGATTGTATGAATTGTGATGAAGAAATTCAATTAAATATTATACTCTTGTCAATAATGTTAATGTTTATTTTAAAGTTTGAAAAAATAGAGAACATTGTTACTGTTTCTTCTTTTACAAATTCTAAAACTCTATGGTCCTTCAATTTGTAAAATTACCACTAATTATACAACAAAGATTAATTATGAATATAATACAACCTTTAATATGTGTAACAATAAATGTGTTAACTGTGGCCACTTGCACTTACTTCAACGCAAAGCAAAACACTAGGAACTGGACCTACCCTGAGTTTGATCACTATAAGGTTGGGGGACAGGCTGTTCCTCCTTGACATCAGGTTTGTCTTCCACAACTACCCACATGATGTTAAGAGTAAGAAACACATGCAACTCATGCAGTTATGTGACATAACTATAAAAATAATCGGACAGAATGAGATGGGGGATCATACGACCCCGCCTCACCACCATGTGACGAGGAGTAAACTGATGACAGCATGTCAGGAAACAAATTCATAAGGAAACAATAAAGTTGCCATCTTGTAAAAATTCAACAAAGCTGAAAAGGCTTCAGTTGGTTTAGTCATTACTTAGTGAGCAGCTCACAACAATGAGTGAGCGAGTGAGCGGTTTTTAGACACTTTTAGCAATACTCCAACAAAATCAAGATTGGAGGGGGGACACAAGATATGGCCTTCACACATTGTGCCCATGTGGAGAATGAAACCTAGCCCTTTATTATTACTAGTGAATCCTTTAACTACTTGGCGAAGAGTTAGTGAGTATGGTTTTATTCCACTTTTAGCAATATTCCAGCGATATCACAGCAGTGGCCCCCAGAATTGTCCTTCACATATTGTTCCCATGTTGGGAATCAAACCCACGTCTTAGTAATAAGTGAGTGAGTGAGTGACTTTAGTTTTATGTCACACTCAGCAATATTCCAGCTATATGGTTGCGGTCTGTAAATAATTGAGTCTGGACCAGACAATCCAGTGATCAACAGCATGAGCATCGATCTGCGCATTTGGGAACCGATGACATGTGTCAACCAAGTCAGCGAGCCGGACCACCCGATCCTGTTAGTTGCCTCTTACGACAAGCATAGTCGCCTTTTGTGGCAAGCATGGGTTGCTGAAGACCTATTCTACCCCGGATCTTCACGGGTCAGTAATGATAAGTGAGTGCATTAACCATTATGCTACCCTACTGTCCCGGTGAGTGAATTCAGCAATGTAGCTTAACGTTGTAGGAAACCTTGTGTGATGTGGAACTGAACGTTTACCAGTAACTGAAACCCACATGTATGGGAACATTTTGACAGTGAAATTAGGATTCACGCCCTGATCAGATGACCTCATACGGAAAAGGTTCAGACAAAACAGCCCCTGATCAGAAGACCTTGTCCTCATACGGAAAAAAACAGACAATACAGCCCCTGTGGGACCCCCCACCCCCATCCCCCACAGGTAAACACAGGGCTGGCAACCGATAGATCATAGATATTGTATCAGTGAATTATCAATAAATATTGAATTAACTTTGCTCAAAAATATAAAAAATATCTTTCCCCCCACCCCACAAAATCACTGGTGAGTTGTGACAAATTTCTCATCTCAGGATAAGACTGACTGAGTTTGGTTTTACGCCGCTTTTAGCAATATTCCAGCAACATCACGGCAGGGGACACCAGAAATGGGCTTCACTCATTGTACCCATGTGGGGATTCGAACCCGGGTCTTCGGCGTGACGAGCCAACGCTTTAACCATTAGGCTACCCCACAGCCCCTCTCAGGATGAGAAAAAAACAGTATCCTGAACATAATTTAGCTGTCCATAGGTAAAGAATGTAAATTTTCCTCCTGACAATAATTCTGATTATCAATCTTTTTTAGCCAGCCCTAGGTGAAGCCCATGAGACATAATGTCCACATGATAAAGGCCCATTTTTGTTGGAGAACCATAGCATAATGATATGTTGAAATCACACATTTGGTTTATCCTCAAGAACAATCACTGAAAAAACAATGTTTCATGCACATTCAATCATAAACATAAATGTTGTGCCAACATAATGGGCACAAACGTTCTGCCTCATGCCATTCTGAAATTCCTCGAATGAGAGGTCCATGCACAGGTTTTTCATGATTTCATGAGTTCTCTCGGCTTTCTGGATCTCTTTGACAACTTAACCCCACCCTGATTACTCTTGATCAGCTTCAAGGTTGTACTGTATTGTTCACTGTCAAAAATCCTATATGCCTCATTGACAAATAATGTCAGTTAACTTAACAATAACCATTAATCAGTTGAAATGTTGTAAGAACTGCTCACAAGGATATGAAACACAAATTATACTGTCAAATTGCTCTTAACACTTCAAAGGGATTTAGTCTTTGAAGCATATTTGTTTTCTTTGATGGAGATATCGGTCTACATGTTGTAAAAGAAATGGAGAGCCATCATCCTTGTGGGGTTTTCATCTTAGGGAGACTATGTCCGGGTGATCTTTTGACCCACGATTTTTTTTTATCCACAGGGGTTTTTACCCGTCACTCAGAGAAATAGGGCACACTTCTATGCACTGGACCACTTGTGTCCCCATCTAAATGTACTGTAATTTTGGCACATAAAACACAGAGAAAACAAAATCACGCTTTTCATCCTGAAATGCTTTTAAATCACCAAATGAAAATTTCTTCACCAAAAATACAGAAGAGTTTTCAACCACTAAACTAAATGAACTGAAACATTTTCAGCTTAAAAATGTAATACCATAACAATTTACAGGTACCAAGAGCAAAATAATATAAAATGTTTCCTTAACATTGACTTATAAACATGTTACATTAAAGCCCTCTAGGTTTCTATATCCAGGAACTGGAGCAGGAGCTTCATAGATTATAGTCAATTCATGTAACATTTCTTTGATACAAGTGCAAGGTTGGATAAATAAATTCTTCTCTATTACAACAAGTCTAACTGTGTATCATTTGATTTTTACAATGGGTAAATACAGTTTTGGTGATGGACTTCTTGTGGAATGAGATGAAAAACTGTTTCAAGCAAACATGTTAATGTAACATCTCCCAAACAAACAGTAACCACCACATAACAAACTGGGTGGGAACAGGCATTCCTGTGACTGTCAGAACTAGATGGAGGAATGATACTGTAGTGAGCCCCTGATGGCGTGGACTGATTGGTGGTGGTACAGGTGAGTATTGACAGGTATATGGGTCAAGTGTGTATTGGTTGGTATGATGGAAACTGGTTATTACTAGGTGGGAGGTGCAGGTGTGTATTGACAGGTGGATGGGTCACATGTGTATTGGTTGGTAGTAGGGAAGGTGGTTATTACCAGGTAAGAGGGGATGATGTGTATTGACAGGTGAAGTGATGGGCGGGAGAGATGGGTAGGTCTGTATTACCAGGTGAGAGGTGCAGGTGTGTATTGACAAGTGGATGGGTCACATGGGTATTTGTTGGTAGGAGGGAAGGTGGGTATTACCAGGTGAGAGGTGTAGGTGTGTATTGACAAGTGGATGGGTCACATGTGTATTGGTTGGTAGGAGGGAAGGTGGCAATTACCAGGTAAGAGGAGCTGATGTGTATTGACAGGTGAAGTGATGTGCAGGTGTTTGTTGACAGGTGACACAGGTAGGTCTGTATTGACAGGTGACATCATAAGCAGCTGTGTATTGAAAGGTGGCAGGTGTGAATTGGACAGATGTTTATTGGAGGCAAGTGTCTTTTGACAGATGGGAGCAAGTCTGGTGTGACGTTTTCAGATCATTCTAAAATATAACATATTCATTGGAGTGCAGTGGGATTGCAACACCAGGACAGGAACATTTACCTGGTGAAGACAGCAATATGTCTATGTACAAGTTGCTGTTTCCTTGACTTATGATAAAGCAAAGGTCATCTGTTACTTAAAATATTGTTATTGTAAAGGCTCACAAGATGTGAAAATGTTAGATTAAATCTAACTTATGTTTCTTAAATTTGAAAAATAACTGATGACAATCATCTGGAAGTATCTGTGAGGTGTATGAGAAAACCATCGAAATCTGGATCAGACGGGGAAGGAGGTCATTAGATTTAAGGTCCAGTAAAAAAATAAGGAGGAGGTGAAAGGGAACAACTGACCAACCGCTGAAGGCTGAAACTGAAACAACCCACCCACTACATGGCGGATGAGATCTCTAAGTGATGACTAGGTGTGAGGGTGCAAGCACAGCATCTCCACACTTGAGTACCAACACCTACCTTGCACAGGCCTAAAGGGTGTATACATGGAACCTTGGCCTGGCCGCACCTGCGGCTGGGACGAGAACTGGCTGCTTGAAGCAGGGTTGCTGTTTGGCATTGGGTTAAAGTTTACTGACCCAATCTGCCGTTGCACGGAACTAAACTGTCCTGTAAATGCAACGCACTGTGAGTAAGCAGAGTTACATGGTGCTGGAAAGTATTAACCTGTTAGCGGGAGCTGGGGAGAACCTGTTAGAGGTAAGCTTGGGTTGGATGGAGGCGAGGACCACCCTTCTGACAGGCACTCGTATCTCTACACCGGCTGGAATGTCTTCAGGAACATTCCACTGTCAATGTACACACAAACCTGGCTCAACAGTTACAGGATAACTATTTGAAGATCCAGATTAATTAACTTTGGATTCCTTTTAAATTCTTATAATCATGCTTATTTTTCACCCCCAATTGATGCTAACTCCCATCTTGCACAAGTGATTATCTGAACCAATAAAACCAATCTTGACATGAATCATGCTTCACCACAGACAAAGATTTCACCTGATGCTACAAGATGTCTAGGGCAGCACTACAGCAATGTAATTTGAGACATATTAACGTGTCTGGATAATGACAATATTACAGCTACCAGTATATGTTAGTGACCTTATGAACCAGCCCAGTATACCATAGTCAGCAATATTACAGCTACCGGTATATGTTGGTGACCTTATGAACCAGCCCAGTATACCATAATCAGCAATATTACAGCTACCAGTATATGTTGGTGACCTTATGAACCAGCCCAGTATACCATAGTCAGCAATATTACAGCTACCAGTATATGATGGTGACCTAAGCTAACCAGCCCAGTATACCATAGTCAGCAATATTACAGCTTCTAGCATATCATGGTGACCTAAGCAAACCAGCCCAGTATACCATAGTCAGCGATTTCACAGCTACAGCCTGTTCCTGGATATTACCTCTGTCAAATGCAAGACTGGACTGCTACAGGAGACATGGTCATCTGATGATACCGTTCTTCAGCTCCAGAGGACAATGTTAACCATGCAAACCAGGAAGTTTAGGTCTATCAATTCTTCAAATAATTCACTTGATGTCCTATCAACCATCTGTGCTTTGTTTCCAAGAATACTGATGCAAGCTGCTAATGCTCATCACAGATGCAAATTGTCTCTTAAAATTGCTTTTCCCTGACAGTACATCATTAAATGGACATGATAACACTGGAACACAGAATAACTAGAGGCCTGTGAGACACTAACTTGGCATGATCATGCCAGGATTTGTTTAACTGATTCAGTGTTTTCTAGATGTGCAAGTTACAAGATGGACAGAACAGATGCTGGCCATTTCAATGACCATGCTTGTCTTGGACCAGTTGAGCCAGTAAGATACAGTGAACTCCATGTAGTCTACAGAAAGAGTTTTTCAAATTGTTCATCCTTTCCCAGAAGAGAAAGAGAGAGCATATCAGGGGGGCATCAGACACAGCTCTCACACATTGCATCGAGCCAAATACTTTGGCTTGACAAGCCAACATTTTAAGCACCTGGCTATTTGTACTCTTCTCATACACTGCCATTTTCTATACATAAACTGATTCTGTGGCAACAAGAACCGATATGATACATCAGTCGTATCCCCTGTCTTCAACCTGAAAATTAGTCATGAACGTGGGCAGAATCTCTTCATTCCACCGGACAGTAAACATTTCACTCGCACAACCATGCATTTCAAATTTCAGGATGTACTTTTTGTAGACAGGTCACCACACCTCTCCACCAGGAATACATCCAAGTTGTAACATCCACACAATATATTGATTACAACAATAAATCCAGTGACCAACCATTTCAGGGTTGATGCTGCTGATTTGCAGACGAAGTCAGACAGGTCTGAAATCTTTTATTACTGACAAGACCAAATGAAGTGACCAGGTAGCTCACCACTGACTTGCCCTTGAATCAGACATGTCAGAAATCATTCATCTTAAACAATAAAGCTATGAGGTAGCTCACCATGGACTTGCCCTCGAAGTCAGTCAAGTCCGAAATCATTCATCACCTGGCTAGAGATACCAGTTAGCTCGCCATGCTGTAGCTTACCTGGGGGGCTGTACGGTGTTGGTGCAAACATGGCGGGTGAACGGGGTTGCTGGCTTGGCACCGACTGGTACCCAGAGGGTTGGCCCGCAATTATCTGGTTGGGTATTGGGTCGTAATCTGCAATAGACCCAATCTGCCTCCTGGGCTGGTGATTCTGCTCTGTAAACAAGTAAACAAGTACACATCCACATTACCCAGGAGCAACCAACATAGCAATATCCCAGCTATACCACAACAGGGCAAGCCAGAAATGAGCTTCACATATTATTACTATGTGGGGAATCGAACCTGGGTCTTTAGCATGACAAGTGAACACTTTAACCACTAGGCTACCCCACCCCCATGAATAAATGCAGTCAGTTCTTCACTACAGGATTAACATCATTCACTTGCAAGGGACAGATAATTGTTAATTTCTTGTAACATGTGGGTCAAACTCTAATTATGCCATGTTTGAGCTGGTTTTAAGTAAATGTTGCTCGAAACTGCAACAAGGCATCTGACTTGTAATTCTTCCGGAATGGGTCAGACGGATTAGTTAAATGTGTTTCTGTATCACAGATATCTTATGTTACGAATAAAAATTATAGTAAGCAAACTTCCAGTGAGCAGAACAAATATTTATAGCTAATATTTGATATTTATGATACAGGAAGATGCAAGGGTAAAAGTAGAAATTTAATATTATAAACTACTATCTTTATAATAACTGATATTCAAGCATCAATGTCACTCAACGAACTAACTTCAGAAACTGCGTCTAAATGCAATGTTTGAGTGAAATGCCCCATTTATCAAATATATATAGCCATTTTCAGTCACATATTGGGAAACCATTTTGAAACTTATAGCAAAAGTTAGTGATTTGCTTAAGGTGTGGCTAGACTGTGTCAATGTAATGTATCTAAGAAATAGAACTTAGGTGGCCCCATTTGCATATTTATCACTCTTGATGCAAAGGTTATAAGACTAGTGTATCGCATCAGTAATATAAGTAATCATGTGTGAGTGAGTTAAGTTTTATGCCGCACTCAGCAATATTCCAGCTATATGGCAGCAGTCTGTAAACAATCGAGTCTGGACCAGACAATCCAGTGATCAACAGCATGAGCATCGATCTGCGCAATTGAGAACCGATGACATGTGTCAACCAAGTCAGCAAGCCTGACCACCAGAACCCCTAAGTCACCTTAGACAAGCATGGGTTACTAAAGATCAATTCTAACCCGGACCTTCACGAGTAAGTAATCATGTGATATGTTGGAGTGAAAGTGTTTACTTAATGAGTACAGTTGTTCCCATTGATCATGTCGAGTCGATGCTCTGGTCCTATTAAATTACACAAATCAAGGGTAAATACAACTGGCATATGAAACTAGTCAACAGCTCGTTTAGTACTAGTACTTGAAAAAATAACTAGATAGAGGAACAAGACAACCAGTCTGCCTTGATTGGACTAACAGACTTGTATTTAGCTCTGATTAACGAGCAACAGCAATGGTGAGGGAAATGTGTTTACATTCTACAACAAAACAATGAACCGAGTTATATGTTTATGAAGTCATGTGATGATATGAAATTATCACAGCATATAGCTAAAACGAAAAATTAAATCCAAATTATATACAAAACTAAACTTGAATCACAGGCAATATGAGAAGAATTAAAATAAATCTAGGAATCTTGAATTACCAAATCATTCTTTAAAACAAATATTACAATTACAACAAATGACAAACAAAAGCATGCAACATTACAAAAGCTCAACACAAACAAAATGTATAAAACACTAGACTAGTCTTGTTGTTTTGTTTTGTTTAATGCCACACTCAGCAATATTCCAGCTATATGGCAGCAGTCTGTAAATAATCAAGGCTGGACCAGACAATCCTGTGATTGACATTTATCTACACCATTATCCAATCCCATGTTGCCTCTTACAACAAACATTGGTCAAATGTGAGTGACAGAGCACACAGAGACTGTGCGCTGCTTTTAGCAATATTCCAGCAATATCACAGCGGGGGACACCAGAAATGGGCTTCACACATTGTACCCATGTGGGGAATGGAGCCCGAGTCTTCAGCATGACGAGCGAACACTTTAACAAGGCTACCCCACCGCCCCTGGTCAAATTTACAACAGACTGTTTTTAATCATGAATAATGATGATTTACTATGGGCTTAAGGTCATTCGATGAGTGAGTGAGTGATATTCATGATCATATCTATAACACAACTACAAAACAGTGAAATATTTGATCAGGGTAAAACATACAGACTACTCAAAAAAAGTTAAGAAACATGACTCTTTCATACTACTCTCATGCGATGACAGGTTATATTGTTTATCTCATCGTGAAATAGTGAGTGAGTGAATGAGTATTTCATTAAATGAAGTCAAATACATTCACTAAACATTGACCAAGGTGAAAATGACGGTGACATTCAAGACGTGTGTGTCCAATATTACCAGTGAAGATCACCCCAATGTTAATATAATGTGCTAGTTAGGCCACAACAAACTCCAGCACTGCTGAGTGAAACAAGGGAAGATCATGAATATACACCTGCCTCAATGTCTGACTGACTGCCTAAGTTTTGGTTTTACGCCGCTTTTAGCAATATTCCAGCAACATCACAGCGGGGGGCACCAGAAATGGGCTTCACACATTGTATCCATGTGGGGATTCGAACCCGGGTGTTCGGCGTGACGAGCCAACGCTTTAACCACTAGGCTACCCCACCGCCCCTAGTCCGACAGGAGGAAGCATAAACCAATAGGATACAAGCACTCGACATGTTGGCAGAAGAGTGTGTGGGATTATTGTGAAACGTATATACTCCCTCCAAACCGTTCCTCGAAGTTTAGCTGAGAACTTTAGAACTGTGCCTCGTACCTTGTGGTTTTAAAGTACAAATGTCTGGACACCTTTGCAGGTGCTTTTGATCGTCATAACCTCATAAATATCTGGGGACACATGTGTGTAGAGTTGCGTCCCTTAGGCGACACATGATCCAAAGATGCTAGTTCGATTCCCAGATTAACGCTAATAATGATAATCAGTTTAAGCACCATGCTCTTCCATAGACAAGGTGGTAACGTCTTGGACCTACATTGTGTCATAACAATTCCTCTCTTATAAAGTAACCAGGGTTATCCAACAATGATGTCGATATATTCAACCGCGTGGGGACTCGAATACGTAAACTATTCATGTTGTAAGAAGCGATTTAATAGCCCCTAAGTTAAGGGTCAAGGGCACGTTTCACAAGTTACTGAATAATAGAATGGAACCCTTTTTAAAGAAACAAGTTGCGGTTAAGAGAATTGATATGCTTCAGAAGCTGTTACGCAATTTATTCTCAAAACCTAAATTTATTCATTATGTACCTTGTAGACAGGTTTTTTGAAAGTGTATGAATGTTGTTTAGTTCATTAGTCTACAAATACATGTAATTATAAAATCAGTAGTTTGGTAGATGTGCCATTGATCTACATCTCCATCTTCTTCCCTGTTGGCAACTCCTTTGTCGACAAAAGTACCATCATTGTCACAAGTGTGCAAGCAGCCATGGGAAGAACTTTTGAAACTTTTCTCCCGAACTCAAGGACAGTTTTACAACAAACATGGGATACTCATTTTAAAAACTGATTTCGATTTTCAATGGTCTGCAAACATTCACAGACACAGAGCTGTTCTGTACCTGAAGTGGTTGGCTGATGTCAATTTGAATAACATGTTACTAGTGGCATTTTCTGCACTTTCAGTTAAGGCCACACAAAATAAATTTCTTGTTTCTCATCACTTTTTAAAAACAAAAAATAAGAATGGGCATATTTTATTTTTATTTTTTATTATATATTTTTCTGATTTTCTATACAATGTTAGTTGAAAACTTTGAATGCCGCAAGCTGAGACGAATTTCGGAAATTTGCCAGCTTTATACACGCAAATTAACCAGAGCCAAAAAAAAAAAAAGGTTGGGCGGTAATGAGAACCAAGAAATTATTTTTATGCGGCCTAACAGACAGCAGTCATATAATCCTATCTTCTAAATGTTAAAAACAAAACCACAATGATCTTGCATGAATACTTTGCAAGCACCGAGTTTTCTTTTTGGCAAGAACTACTTCTCTAGAGTGAGTGAGGGAGTATGGTAGTATCACAGCAGTTTTTCTACAGAAGTGACTGAATTGTTGCTGGCCCAAGCAATGATATTAATAATGTTGATGTTTGATGTTATCCATGTTAAGACCAATTAAAAGTTTTGTTACAATATGTTACAGTTGATGAGTGTTAAAAAACATGTCCATACCAACATATTATGGCTTACATCCAACTCAACATGTTATAAAGTGTTATACCATTTATTCGGTTAATATCGAACATGTTATCTTCTGTGTTGAATAACTCCGACACACCATGTAACAGGCATCCTGAATACCTTGTGTAACATATCTCCATTGTCATGTAATTTACCATGAACCATCCATCACCATAGACTCACTGTAGTTCTCGAATTATTTTTGATTTGGTTAAATACCACATATTCCATAGTTATTACTACAGTTGGTGGCCAATTGAGCCAGGATCAGACAATCCAGTGATTGATGTAGTGAGCAACAAGCCACGTTGTAATGAGTGAGTGAGTGAGTTTAGATTTACGCCGCACTCAGCAATATTCCAGCTATATGGTGGTGGTCTGTAAATAACCGAGTCTGGACCAGACAATCCAGTGATCAACAGCAGGAGCATGGATCTTTGCAATTGGGAACTGATGACATGTGTGAACCAAGTCAGCGAGCCTGACCACCTGATCCCATTAGTCGCCTCTTACGACAAGCATGGGTTACTGAAGATCAATATTCTAACCCGGACCTTCACGGGTACCATGTTGTAATGGCATGATGACATCCTGTTGATCAAATCACAAGTTGATCCATTCGGTCACCTCTTATGACCGGCAATGGTTGCTGACCCGTGAAGATCCGGTTAGAATTAGTCTTCAGCAACCTATGTTCGTCTTAAGAGGCGATTAATGGGATCAGGTGGTCAGGCTCGCTAACTTGGTTGACACATGTCATCATATCCCAATTGCATAGATCTGTGCTCGTGATATTGATCACTAAATCGTGAATGTCTGGTCCAGACTTGCGGTCATATTGCCGAGTGCAGAGTTAAACAACAAACAAACACAGCAATGATTCCTGGGGATGAATTCAAAGCCAGGATATCACAATATGGAACATCCACTCAAAATACGAAAGAACTTGTAAAGTTACTGATAAGAGATTGAAATGATCTTTTCTTCCTTAAAAAACTTTGGTAATGAATGGTTCCTGGGTTTACAACAGAATGGAGATACCGTTTACTGGATTACTGAGGATGTGTTTCAGAAATGTTAAGAGTTGCTACCCCTTGACAGAAGGCCCTGAAAACTGCAGGAGCAAATTTTCCAGCGATAGGAAAGATATAAGCTTTGCACAAAGTAATCTTTTTGTTACTTACTCTCATCATCAAATACCTCAGCTTCTTCTACAAATGAAGGGTAATTTTAAAATCACAATACATATTAGTCATCCTTGATTTTCATCGACATGCACTACAAGTATGACTGAACGGTTCAAACATGAAGAATGGGAAATAAGGAAATATAAAGAAATGATGAATATAACTGAAAATGTCTGAAACAAATCATATGAACAATAAAAATAATACCAACAAAAACTATATATAATAACAGTGAAAATACCATAAACATCGAGGCTTCCTATCACCAAGCTAATGGCATCGTATTAAGCTGAGAAGATATGAAAGACATTCAAGTCTTGAAATGAATGTTTATGAAATGATACCAGTACTGCCTAAGTTAGGATGATCACATGACAGTTACTAATATTCTCGTAAGGTCCAACAGTGATATTTCTTTCTGTGAGTAGTTGTCCAAAACAGTATCGAAAAGTATTATCAGTTCTCTTGCCCAAACATTTCAAGGCAAAACAAACTGATATTGATAACATAATGATACCATCACTACTTCTGGGATATCTGAGAGTTAGTTCAAATAACCTTGAACGTTCAAAAGGGACTTGTTTTTAGTTTATTAATATCCTTCTATAAAAAAATAGTCTTGACAGTTCAGGACCACGCCATTCTTTCATGTTGCCATAGTGAAATTGTCAAGGCCTGAAAGTGAGTGAGTGAGTGAGTTTAGTTTTAAGCTGCATTCCAGCAATATCACGGCGTGACGGCACCAGAAATGGGCTTCACACATTGTACCCATGTGGGGAATTGAACCAGGGTCTTTGCTGTGATGAGCGAACGCTTTAACTACTAGGCTACCCCACCGATCCCAAGGCCTGAAATATTAACTACAGTAGCATGAAAGAATTGGGTGTTCTTTAACATCTTTTCAGTGGTATAAGTCCAGACCCTTCCAGTCTGTGTCGACTCATCAACCTTGTTACAAATGCCCCTTTAGTGGACATAGATACACAATACATGACTATCTCCTCTAGCAAGACAGATTAGACACAATATTAGTGGACAATCACAACACAGCAGATAGACATCATTCCTGACAACTACATCCAGCAATCATGCAGCACCGAGACTAGTCTGTCTCACAGTCCCTGAACCACATTATTTTCCCTACTGCCAAGCCCTCTCTGCAGTGCTAAAGCCCTAAATGAAGCAAGTCTAGCATTAGTCTACACCGAGACGTGGATGCTGTTAATAGTGTTACGTCACAAAATCACAAACTATACGTAAATCTATATCACTTCCTATCAAACCCATCTTTCGGATGCTTTTCACATCGAGTTGATAGAGGAATTGTGTTATCAAATGACTCAAACTCTGATTCAGAGCACATTTCCATCTTCGTACCTTATACTGACTGACTGACTGAGTTTGGTTTTACGCCGCTTTTAGCAATATTCCAGCAACATCACGGCGGGGGACACCAGAAATGGGCTTCACACATTGTGCCCATGTGGGGATTCGAACCCGGGTCTTCGGCGTGACGAGCGAACGCTTTAACCATTAGGCTACCCCACCGCCCCTCGTACCTTATAGAGAAGGTAGCTTTTTCAGTAATACTTTGAGAATGGTGCACACCCTAAAACCCTCCAAATCTAGTGCTTACGTAATTTTGATCATGTGTGCCTCAAAACCTACCTTCCTACTAAAAATCTGAATATATTAAACTGTATAAAGACACCCAAGACCTACAAATAAAAGAACCTTTTTGACCATTGTCAAAAAACATTCAAGACCTAGACATTTTCGAACGGTTCCTGTTATAACACCATCAAGATATCCGAGAAAGGAATACATGGAGATTGGCTAAACTTCCACCAGTTGTTGTTGAGACTGTTGTTGAGACTGTTGTTGAGACTGTTGTTACAGTTGTGCTTACCTTCTCCTTTAGAGTTGTAGACGTGGGTGGGTTGGTTTTGGGGAGGAGGAGGAGCTGCCACGGCCGTGGGCACATAGTCAGTTATGCTACCTGGGTTCTTGTGACCGCGCCTGCGAGCTGTTGAGGGTACATGCAAAACACAAACAAGCATAGCAAAACCCAAACTAAACATTGTAGCAAAATGGTGGGTGATAGGATCAGTAGCTATGGTACTCCACCAAATGGTAGGGAATATATGATCAGTATTGATCGTAACGAACCAAAAAAGAAGGGGATACAGAATCAGAATTGATGGACTCAGCCAAAATGGTCATGGACATGTGACCAGTATTGCTGGCATTGAACCAAAATTGTAGGGTACAGAGAAGTAGTACCGGAATAGTTCTATCAAATGGTATGGAATACATGATCGATAGGGACGGTATTCCACCAAAAGGATTGGGAATTTAGGATCAGTATTCAAGGTACTCCACCAATATGTTGTGGGATATATGATCAGTATGGATGGAACCCATAGGACATGGAGTCAGTACCAATCGAGTAAGTTTATTAGGGATTTCGGATCTTAGTCACAACCAACACATGAAATAAAAGTTATCATTTAAAACTTTACAATTGAAATGCATTCATAGAGTAACAGATAGGCACAGACACTGAAGCAACTTTTAGAGACAGAAAAGATATCTGACTTGCATCATTCAAAGAAACATTCGAAGATAGCTTGATCTGGCGATGTTAGTATGAAATATTAGATAAGTTTCACGCACATCCATGACTTATATATGTTAATTGCACTCAATGTCACTGTTACATAAATATTGTTATTTACAGGAAGTAAGACAAAATTGTTGAAGTAAACAAAGCTTTCTCGTAATTTCAAATTTTGATTAGCAGTAATAAGCAATTTCTTTTGACACCGTTCATAAACTCTACACTGATTTATAGGAAGTAAGACCAGTTTTGAGTGAGTGAGTTTAGTTTTATGCCACACTCAGCAATATTCCAGCTATATGGCGGTGGTCTGTAAATAATCGAGTCTGGACCAAACAATCCAGTGATCAACAGCAGGAGCATTGATCTGCACAACTGGGAATCGATGACATGTGTGAACCAAGTCAGCGAGCCTGACCACTCGATCCCTTTAGTCGCCTCTTACAACAAGCATGGGTTACTGAAGATCAATATTCTAACCCTGATCTTCACGGGTGAGATCAGTTTTGAAATAAGCAATACTTTCCAGTAAATTCATATTTTGATTTTTCAGCAATATTAATCATTTTTCTAAACACTCCTTTCAAAACCTCTACACTTATTTTTAGCAAGTCAGACAAAACTGTTGAAATTTGCAACACTATCCAGTAAATCTCATCAAAGGAAACACGAAATATTGTTCATATTTTGCCTTTTTAGCAATATTAATTCTTCTTTTTTCATCATGTCCTTTAGAATCTCTATATTTACTTGGGGTAATCTGCTGGAGATCAGAGAATGGGGAATGAATATGACAAGAAATAAACAGTAACTTAAAATGGCAACATTTAAGCCATGAGATGCAGCAGCATGAAACACCATGAACTGATGAGGCAGAGACAGTGAACTCCACAATACTATCTGTGACTCAGCATTGGATTGGCATTTAGGATCACTGGTACTCAACTCAAATGGTCAGGATATTGGATCAGTCCTGATTTTATTGACATGCTTTACAAGACTTGACCTTTAAATAAATTGTACTGGGTGGCATGTACTGCATGGTCAAGCTGCTGCTACTTTTCTTATGAAAGACAAATGTCAGGATAATTCTGATGTTTGTATCAAGTGGGAGTTCACTGTTTGAGATTTTGAAGATGAAATGGACTTGTGTTCAGAATGGAAACAGAACAATGAACTAAATACATGATGAGTTGCTGGAAAATGCTACTGCCTGAGATGTGTCATCCAAGAGATGGACCTATTTTAACTAACCTGTCATCCAAGAGATGGACCTACTTTAGCAGATCTGTCATCCAAAAGATGGACCTACTTTAGCAGACCTATCATCCAAGAGATGGACCTTCTTTAGCACATCTGTCATCCAAGAGATGGACCTACTTTGACTGACCTGTCATCCAAGAGATGGACCTACTTTAGTAGATCTGTCATCCAGGAGATGGACCTACTTTAGCAGATCTGCCATCCAAGAGATGGACCTACTTTAGCAGATCTGTCATCCAGGAGATGGACCTACTTTGACTGACCTGTCATCCAGGAGATGGACCTACTTTGACTGACCTGTCATCCAGATGGACCTACTTTAGCAGACCTGTCATCCAAGAGATGGACCTAGTTTAGAAGACCTGTCATCCAGGAGATGGACCTACTTTAGTAGACCTGTCATCCAGGAGATGGACCTACTTTAGCAGATCTGTCATCCAGGAGATGGACCTACTTTAGCAGACCTGTCATCCAGGAGATGGACCTACTTTAGCAGACCTGTCATCCAGGAGATGGACCTACTTTAGCAGACATGTCATCCAGGAGATGGACCTACTTTAGAAGACATGTCATCCAGGAGATGGACCTACTTTGACTGACCTGTAATCCAGATGGACCTCCTTCACAATGCCTATGCATTGCAACCATATGGACCCAGTTCCACAAATTCATTTTAGCAGCACAACTGTGGTTAGTGATGTTAAAGTATGAAAGTACCAATCATCTAAGACTGTTAAATGGAACGGGTCTTCAACAGGGTTGGGGCGAGTTGATTGTGGCTTACATGGCGTTGACAATATCTCAGCTACATGAAACGTCAGTATTATGTTAGAGAAGAGACAAAATGATGAAGGTCCCTGAATTTAGCCTTAGTCTTTCACAGTGTTCTGATTGAGTTTACCTGCAAAGTTATCTGTCTCTTCATTGGGCCGGTTCTGTTCCATCCTTGCTTTTTCTTGGAGTGTGTTGTGGTAGGCAACATTGCTCACGACTTGCATGTTCTTCTTGAGACGCTGGGTTTCAGGGTCGTCAGCCACAGACATTTTTTTGCCTTTTTCTTTTTCAAAATTTTCATGGTACTTAATCTGAAAAGTAGGAAAGACAAAAATATAGACAAAGATCAAAGGACAGTTAGCTGCTGAAAAATAACAAACTTGTAGATTATAAATGCACTGATTGAATGAAAAACACAAAATTTGAAAATGAAAGGACAACTTTTAACAATGAACAATATGCATATACTGACTTATCACAAATAGTCACAACACTTCTTGAGAAATCACCAAGGATTCCAGAAAATAAGTCCAAGTGATTCTGTTCTCATGATAACTAATGCATGACAAGTTTGGTCTCATTATCCTGAAAATGAACAGTAGTTATTTAGGACTGGAAAACTAGCCTTGAACAACCCTGAAAGAAAGACAAACACACAAACATTAGCAAGAAAAAGAAAATATATTAATATGGTGTCATGAACTTTGATGTACTCAAGTAGAAAATTTACAAGAAAAAAAAAAGGTTTGATAAATATACAGTAATATGTGAATTAGTTTGCATGATTTTGATAATATGTTGCCTGTAGAAAACCAAAACATCTATATAATAATGGATGTATAAAACTCATATTATTTGATCCCAGCTAATATACCGATGTCTAATACATAACGTTGTGTTATGGGTGTAAGCCATATACTATGACTGTCATACCTATGGTATTCAAGCAGCCAGAACACAATAGCATATCAGAGTAAGGATACTCAGGAATATTGTGCCTTGTCCATTTTCATACAGAACACACATATCCAATATACATGTGTATCATTCATTTTTTCTGTGGAATTAGAATGCCCCCATTTTGTACCTATACAATATAACTTGGAATCCTATGAATATAAACCTCTCAATACCACATGGCTTCTCTGTACCCTTTACGGACCAATCATATATTGGAGGTAGGGGCAATTTCAGGAAAGGTCATGATTCAAATGGATGACAGAACATTTTTCAATGTATACCGCAAATAATTGTTGATGTCTTTGTCAGAAGTCTTTAATTACAAAATTCTGTGGTGGACATGTGGAGCATAAAAATACACATTCATATGGACATATATTGGACAAGTGACATATACTGCTTAAAGGAAGTTAAAGAACACCTGAGTCAAGTAACTTCAATTTGAAAAATTGTGTGTTCCTTGACTTCTTTTGAGCAGTTCACTTAGACATAGTTGACCATACAGTATTACTTATAATTTACCCTTTATGGTGAGTTTTATGATTAATTTCCTTAACAGTTTTGCATTCTTTGGGGAGGATATGACAAGCCTTTCAAGATGTCATTGGCAATGAAGAATCTGTGCCCAAACCCCATCCCAAAGCTAAATAATGACAAGTCCCTGAGGACATACCATAGCAGAAGTCAGTTGTCCATACAGGAGGCAGATAACAAGTCCAGTCAGTCATTGCTGCTCCACAGCCTCACTTGGAGGCTCTTGTGGAGGCTCTGTAACTGGTTCTTGAGGGAGCTCATTAGAAGGTTCCTCTGGAAGCTCTTTAGCTGGTTCTTGAGGGAGCTCCTTGGAAGGTTCCTCTGGAAGCTCTTTAGCTGGTTCTTGAGGGAGCTTCTTAGAGGGTTCCTCTGGAAGCTCTTTAGCTGGTTCTTCAGGTAGCTCTTTAGCTGGTTCTTGAGGAAGCTCTTTAGCTGGTTCTTGAGGAAGCTGTTTAGTGGGTTCTTCTGCAACCTTTGGAGCTGGTTCTTGAGGAAGCTCTTTAGGTTGTTCTACAACCTTTGGAGCTGGTTCTTCAACCTTTTTAGCTGGTTCTTGAGGAACTGCTTTAGCCGGTTCCTTCTGAACTACTTTAGTGGGCTCTTGAGAGAGCTGTTTTGGTGGCTCCTCAGGGGCTGCTTTGGGGGATTGTTTGGACACCTGTTTAGGAGCTGCTAGTTTGGGCTCTGGATGTGACTGGGTGGGGGACTGAGGGGTAGGGGATTGAGGAGTAGGAGATTGAGGGGTTGGTTTGGAGGATTGTGGAGCCACCTGTAAGCAAGAAGCCTACCAGCATTATTGGTTTTTTTCCAGTTTCCAATGAAATATTCCCTCGGCTAAAACTTTATCACATCAATTTGTTCTTGAAAGTATTTTAATTTCATAATTAGTTTCAGAAAAGATACAAGATTCTTTTTATACATAATTACTGTTCACTGGTTAAAATATTTTTAATTTTCTTGAACTGTATCGAGTATGTAATAAGAAGATACATCAATATTAGTAGCAAAGCATCAATATTCTTTCACAGATCTCAGATCTACGAATGCAACATATCATGCCAATGTTTGTGTTAATGATAGATTCTTATTTTAAGCTCAAAATACGGAACAATACACACCAAAGCATATAATCCCCATTCATCACTGAAGTAAGGGGGATCATCATTTTTCTTTTCAATGAAGATTTTTTTATTCCCAGTAATAGTTTCTTGAAGGCATGTAATTGTACACTGTCACATATCAGAATTCACAAAGTATGACGGTCAAGGGATCACGGTCACAACTCCAAAATTATAAGTTTATTCAAATTCTATAGCAGCAAATATCAAGGGCTCCAATACCCCTTAATTTCAAACACAGTTGTACATATGTCCATTCTGACATAAGTCACAACATCTCTGGCGTCTGGTTTCTATGGGTAAGTTTGAAGTTATCACATGGCTATTTAGCACATTCAATAGTGAGTGAGTATAGTCTAACATCGCTTTTAGCAATATTCCAGCAATATCATGGCGGGGGGGACACCAGAAATGGGCTTCACACATTATGCCCATGTTGGGAATTGAACCCAGGTCTCTGGTGTGACGGGTGAACGCCTACACCACTAGGCTTACCCACCTCTCCCATTCAGAAATTGTATTGCTATTATCAGGCTCCTTTTATTTGATCAAATACACATATGACAGGATACATTCCTGAGTGACCACTGTTAATGATATTCATTTCTTATCACAGATCATGTGTCAGTGTCCAATACGGATTAATACCACAAGAGTGCCGACAACAGCCAGGAAACACAGGTGTCACAAACCAACTGAAAATGCAGTAAAAAAACAAATGCTCAATTAACAAATAATCTTGAGTTCAAACCTCTGAAGTAAAGTACTGTCATTGATTAAGCAAGTACGGAAAGAGTGTGTGAGTTGGGTGTTTACGCTGCTTTTAGCAATATTCCTGCAATATCACAGCTGGGGACACCAGAAATGGGCTTCACACATTGTGGGAAATCGAACCCGGGTTTCGGCATGACAAGCAAACGCTTTAACCACAAGGCTACCCCACACAGCCCCAGCACAGAGAAAACACCATGAAAATGAAAACCTGGACTTGCACAATTCTCCAAGGAAAAGAGTTAAAATGATAATTCATATCAAAATAAATTGCATAATGAACGAGTGAGATCATGTTGTCTCAATGAAAGAAAGGCAACCTTAGAATTTTTGGCTTATCCTGACATATATCATGTATAAGGATAGAATATCCATCCATGTACTTATCATTGAGAACAGCCTTGGATCGCCAATTAACAGTTTATACTACACAAGCCTTTATTTCAGAACCAGTACTTACTTAAATAAGGAGCATTTTTCTTACAAAGTATAAATACCACAAAAAAAGCAAACAAAATTATACACAAGTTTATGTCATTAGTCAATTCTTCCATGCTGAAAGACAACAGACTTGCTGTTTAGTGACATCAACAGAAAGGCATTGTGTCAAATTCAAGCTGCATGTTGATGGGGGCCATGAAACACTGATCGACATCAACATAAATCGGAAAACAAACTCATTACACTTTGGTCTGCTTCTGTTTAGGACAGAAGAGGACTTCAGTTGACAGTACTTATTGCAATGAACGTAAAGGAAGTTGAAGTTTCATAAGCATTGTACATCCTTTGAAAAAAATAATCATTAAGTAATTCCAAGACAATTTGGCAAAGTCAAGATTTATTTCACAAGAGATATTTTTGGCCAGATCTCACTTTAGATGGAGTTGCCAAACATGAAACAAATTCCTTGTACTGTGATCTCAAGCTCAGACTTTCTGAGGCCATGTCAGACAGCTACATAACCTATGCACAGCCAACCACAAATAGGATTTCAGGAAGTTGGTTATGTAGGCACCAACCATCTCAAGCCTTTGCTCATGCACACCATCATGCTCCAGCAAAGAGTGAAGCAAATCACAAACTTTTAGAGCAATTTATGTTTGAAGACATTCATGGCCTCGACAAAGCTTAACAAATGATTAATGGTAGACTTGTGGAGGACTTGTCAAAATTTAAGTCATTGGTGACAATAATGATGTCGGAATCAGTTTCCAATTTACGAATGTTTCTATGTTTAGTCTGATGAAATCTGAACATGACTTTGCATGTGTTTATGACATGTGCCACCAGTGGAGCAGGATGTGCTTATCTTTTCCCCAAAACACGTTCTATGATCACTGTATGCAGAGATGCTAACCCTAATTTAGCCCAAGTAGTATTTTGGTAAAAAACTGATGCAAAAATTAGTATTTTTTGCCAAACTCAGTCTTTTACACACAATGTTAGAGCACTGGTAATAAGGCAACAACACTCAGAATGAAGCGGCAGCATGATGCCTGCACGATGCCAACAACGGTCGCCCATCCTACCCCCTTCAGAATCTCTTTGTTCCCCTGGTGGCGCCGCATCTCCACAGTGTCGGCCACTTGAGTGTATTTGCTCTTGGACATCTCAAAGTCCTTGTGATAGTTCACCTGATTGGATGCAATGTAGACTGTAGAAACCCTACATTCCTTATCATCCTAACTTCATACTGTTCAACCATTCGACAATATTTGGACAATTTTCAGAGTTAGAAACAAATTGTTGCACAACATTTACTTTATTGATTAGAATTGCAAACTATCCTTATTTCATTGATACAGTGAAGGAGTCAATAGTGGAATGAGTAAGTTTGGTTTATCACTGTTTGAACTGTATTCCAGTATGGGTAATTTCGATAAGAAATGCTTTGGGCACTAAAAGGACATTTAAATAAATTCACTGTA